GGTGTAAGATGTAATAACGCAAGGACACCCGCAAGCGCAGGGCTTCAGACGCATTCCTCATCTCTGCAGCGTGGCTGTGGCTGTGTGTGCGCCCACGTGGAAGGCTGACAGGGTTTGCACGTGCGGATATCACTGGAGAAGGACCTAAACAAGGTTTCGCTGTGTTATTTAGCTGAACATTCAGCTTAACAAATAAGGAAGTATCAGTGTGCAGTAGTGAAGTCTGCAGGCTTAGATTTTTTTACAAGAGAGGAGAGGCAGAAGGGAATAAAAGTATTTTATGGTTTTGTTTTTAAAACTAGTCAGTAAAACCCTTTTCGGCGCTGGGAAGAAGGAATCTCATAAAACTCACACGAGCTTCCCCAGGCTGATATGAGTTTAGCTGCAATACTTACAAGCTTTACAGTCAATTGGACACGTGGGTACTGCAATGTCTGAGGGCTGCGGAGGGTGAGATCCTGGCAGGTTTATGATCCCCGTGTCGCCAGGGTACCCGTGCACCCGGGGCCTGAGCAGCGCCGAGCTGCGTGCGGTGCCCCGGCGATGGCAGGTACCGAGATGCCGGCCAGGCAGGGACGCTTTGCAGGTGCTTTGTGTTTCCCCTGCCCCAAAAGAAACTACGATAAGGACTTGGAAAGTGTTTTGGATCAAACTGCTGCTCGATTTACCAGCAGTGCTAACCCCAAGCACTCCAAACACGCCAGCTGGGCTTCCCAAACCATGTGTTTTATTTAAAACCACATCGACTGAAAAGAACAACTGTGGGTTTCATTTCCTTCCCCGCTGCGGAGCATCTGGCGCTCCCGTTTCCGAGCTTTTCCCAGACCACCACGGAGGCGGGAATCCCACCTTTTGTGTTCCGTTTTGGCGCCTGCTTTAAAAAATAATGAAACGACAATAGGAAACTCGGCTTGGAGGAGGGGAGGGAAATGAGCCCGGCAGCGAAATCACACGAGCCGATAACCCTGCTCGCCGGAGCGATGCTGTTTCACGTTCGCTTTGTCGTGATCTTCTGCGGCGCCCGCCTGCTTTGGGCCGGAGCCACGGAGGGGGTGGTGGCAGAGCACGATCTGGATCTGGGCAGTCTCAGCCCGGCCTTAGCCAAGGGACTCCTTAATCCCCCAGAAACTCTTTTCCACGTCCATCCGCAGAAGCAGCGACATGTCAGATCCTGACTCAGCTGTAAGAATGCCTCCCGTGGCCCCGGCAGCACTTTCTGAGCGGAGAAGCGGCTCTCCCTGTGTCCTGGGCTGTCGTCACTCCTCTCATCCTGCCCAGAGCAGCCCAGGAAATTAATTTCTCACTTCTCCTGGCCTCCTCCTCCTCCGTGCTCGCCTGGATGCCCCTAATTCCCATCCCTCTGACAGCTCTGAAGCCCAGCTGAGGGAAAATGCATCTCTACTACCCTCCTCAGAAACACTCCACGTGCTCGCTTTTCTCGGCACGATGCTTCTCCGTATTTCCCGGCCCTCTGATGTGCCAGAGTTGGTAATGTGGAATTCTTTATCAGCAGGGGAGTAGGGAGGCTTCCCTCCTGGGCCGGGCTGTGTGCGGGGACGTGTGTGCCTTCGCAGCCGGCAGCCGCTTCGATCCTGCGGCACGGAGGGTGAGCGCTGTGACAGGATCCACTTATCTCGCCTTCGCGTTTCATAATTCATCCTGCCCTTTTGCTCGAGGCGCAGAGCCATTTGCATCCAAACGAGTGTTTATTTCCTCCCAGCTCAGCTCTGCCGCTGGATCCCGGGGAGAAACCGGCGGGTCGGGCTCCTGGCACCGAGCTGCTGTGAGGGCTGGGCTGGAACCACGGGGAGAGCGATCCGTGGGCAACGGGATGCCCTGACTGACGGCGAGGGTAAGGGAGGAGAAGGTGAGTGGTGTTTTCTCCCCAGCTTTAGAGCTTGATCTACAGGGACGAAAAGTATTGGTGGTGTCCCTTACTTAAAAATGGAGAAACTGAGGCACGGGAGCGTTCAACTGACTGGCTGTAGTGTAATCCCGCGAAGCCGCGCTGCCTTGCAGTGCCTCTCGTGCCCCACAGAGACCAAAATCAGAGAGAAACAGACGAACACGTGTCCCCCTCGCACAGTAACCCTCACAGCAGCCAGCTCGCGGTGCAAGGCATGAGATTAGATTATCTTTTATCGTAGCTCGCAGAGGCGAGCGGCTCTCCATTTCCGAAGGCGATGCCAGCTGCAAGCTGCACCTTCCCCAGCTTAAACTCTCAGTTTGGAGCTTCAGAGGTGGAAACACTTACTTACTGGGGGCAACACCTTTCGGTGTGGGCGCGTTTGCTCGTGCCTCCCCAGTCCCAGCCTGTGCTCGGGGTCACGCAGCGCTGGGCCGAGCTGCCGGCAGCGCCGCGGAGCCGCCGGCCTCGCGCTGGGAAGCCGCCGTGCGCTACAAGGTCGGCTCTGTTTGACGGGGAGCCGTGGGGAGGAAGAGGGGGGTCCATCTGGCTTTGAAAAACAGCTGGTAGGCTTTGGCATCCTTCCCCCCAGCCCCGGCTCAGCCCTCTCGCAGCGGCGCGGCGGGTTTTTCTCCTGGGTCTTTGCAAGCACCGGAGCCCACCCAGCCTGTGCTGGCGGCAGGAGGGGTGTCGTGACCTGGGATGTGGTGGGATGGACGAAGCAGGAGCTGGAGCCTCCCGAGGGGTTTCTCTGGGCCGAGGCGGTGGTGGCGGCAGCAGCGGGGACGCTGGCGGGGTGGGGGGAGCTGGTTTGGGGTGCTCAGGGGTGCTGCAGGACCCGGGCTTGGGGGGTGCTGCAGGGCTCGGCTTTGCGGATGCCCTGGGAGGGTATCCGGGAGTTTTGGGGGTGCTCAGGGGATGCTGCCAGTGTGTGCTCGCCCCCAGGAGACCCGCGGGCACTGGGGGGGGGGCGGGGGAAGAGGCTGAGTGGGTGCACTCCCGTTTTCCCCACCGTGGGGCAAGCGCCCGAGGGGGTTGAGGGGGCCGTGGCCCGCCTCCCTTACAGAGGAGTTTCAGGGGTGGGGGGAGCCCGTGTCTGCTCGCCCCTGCAGCCGGGGGGGGGATCGGGGGCGGCGCTCGGGGGCGGCAGCTCCGGCCCCCGGGCAAACTCCTCCCCCGCCGGCCGGACCCGCCTTGGCTCTCCCGCTCCTCCGCTCCGGTGATTCTTCTTCTTCCTTTTATTTATTATCACCGCTGTTCTTATTCTCCTTCTCCGGTCCTCTCCTTCCCCCCCCCCCCGCCGGCCGCTGCCCCTCCAGCCGCCGCGGCTCCCCCGGACCCGGCTCCGCCGCTCGCTCCTGCCCGGCCCGGGCGCCCAGGTACGGCCGGGGCACCCCGCTGCTCCCCTTCCGTCCCCCAAACCTCGGGCACCCCACCGCCTTCCATCCCCAAAACCTCGGGCACCGCAGCTTCGCGGAGGGGTCGGGCCAAGGGAAAGGTTCACGCTGGGATGTTGGGGCCGCGGTGGGAAGGGGAGCCCGGGCGGTTTGGGGGGGGGGATGCCCGGCTGGGATGCACCCAGCACCCCGGGGCTGCACCCAGCACCCCGCTCCCGGCACCCCGGGGGCTGCGCCGAGCCCCTGCGCCGCAGCTTCGTCCAGGTGAAGCTCCAGGGTTGTGGTTCCCGAGGAAGCTCCTGACTTATTTTCTCAGGGTTACGTTGTCCAACTTTGTGCTGAGCTGGGTTTTTTTCAGTCACCGTCAACTCTTCTGGCTCCTCGGGTGGGTAGGACCGAGTTTGCCCGTCTCTAAATCCTACTTCTTCGCAGCCAGGAGAAGTTTTGAAAGTCCCAAGCCCGGGGCTCAGCCTCTTGCTCCCTCGGCAGCAGCCCAAAGCTTTGCCATTCAGCAAAGACATGATGGGCTGACACTCGCTGCCGAACCTCTCCGCAGAAATGGTGGCTGCCTTTGCTGAAGTGGAGGAAATCAAATCCTTTTGTTTATCCCGGAGGATCTCTGTTTTATCTCTCACCGTGCTGCGGTAATTAAAGGAGACCTGCGCTCCAGTTATTCGCCTGGCTTTTGTTTTCTCTTAAGGTTATCCAGGAGGATTTTATTCCCTCCAAAAGGGCATGTGGAAACATTTAGTGTTTTCAGCTGGATTTTGTTTGTGTGCTATTGATTGTCTCTCCAGCAGAGAGATTTTCTAAGGTGCGGTGGAATATTCCATCCCAGCAGAGGCTTGTATTACCGGGGGGCTTCTTTTCCCGCCCCCCCCCAGCCTTGCCCCTTGCTTGTCTGAGCCCAAGTCTCTGTTTTGGGGCACTGGGTGTACTGGGGCTGCTGGCTGGCATTTAATGTCACCCCGCGGGATCCGATGGGCTCTAACCTGGGCTTTGCCAGGGAGGGGGAGAAAAGGCTTTTTCTAGGAAGGGCTTTATTCACCTGTTGAAAAGCCAAGAGGGAAGAGTGGCAGTAGGCTGTTGTATCGTGGTGCGCATCGGATCAGTGAGTCCGACTGCATTCCAGCGACATCTCCGCTGGGACGTGAGATCTTTTCCCATCTCTTTCCAAAGAGCTGGATTTCAGCCCGGCCTAAGGACAGCTGACTGGGGAGCCCTGCTTAGGCAAGGCAGCACAGCCCCGCTCTGCTCCAGCCCGAAAGGCCTTTAACAGGCTGGAAATCAGGTGGCGGAGAATTTTCCACTCGGCAAACCCTCCCTTGCGGAGAAAGACCGAGTATCCTCCAGCCATTTTTGCGTGGGAGCACTTTGGGTGCGCGGACCGACGGGAGACCCAGGCAGCTGCCTGTCTGCTGGGGAGCGTTGGGACGGGGAGCTCGGAGGAGCTTGGCTCTCGGCTGGAGCGGGATCACCGACTTTACCCACGGGAACACGAGAGCTGCTCCCCTTTTTGGGGTCCGCCTCAAACCCGGTAGCCCCCCGGGCAAGCAGCAAACAGAAATAAGGTCATGCCATGGTGTTCCTGTTGTTCCCTGCCCCGGCTGCCTCCCCCTTTTCCCCCTCCAGCCTCCGTCCCCGCCGTCCCCCATCCCTCCCGGCATCTCTGCCCGCCCGTCCTTCCCCATCACTGCTTTCCCACCAGGATGAAATATTTATTGAGTCTCCGTTACCCTTGTTTTCTTGAAAGCGCGTTTCACACTTCATTTGCAGGAGACATTAAGAGACTTCACGGCGGGTTTTCCTGCTCGCTGGGCGCGTGTGATGATGGTGTGTGCGTGACCATCCCGGCCCCGCTCCTGCCTGACCGGGCAGCGTGGCCTGGGCGAGGTGGAGGACCTTGAGCAATGGATGAGTCTGTATCCCTGCTGTGTGATAAATCAGCTAGAGAAAAAAAAAAAAAAAAAAAAAAAAAAAGAGCTGGTCTAAAATCCAGCAAAGAGTTCAGCTCTGCAGAGCTGCCCCATCCGGGCCTGGTTGCACTGCGCCTCCTTGCCCCGGCTGGGATGCGGTGGGTAAAAAGAGTGTGAGTGGGCTCATAAAGCAGCCGTGGGTGAGATTTTCCCATGGAAAAGTCACTCCTGGACCTGATCCTGGAGTGAGTCTGCTTGGATTTACTCCTAACAGCGGGGTTGGGGTCGGACTGTGCCCCTGTGTCGGGCCATCCCGGAGGGAGGAATTGCTGTTCTTGGGAAGCGGAGCTGTGGCTGGGGACCCGCGCCCGTCCCGGGGGGTGGCTGTCCCCAGGCGGGCTGTCCTCCCACGGCAGGGGGTCAGGATTGTTGTGGGTACTGCCGGCACCCGAATCGCAGGGTGGGGAGGGGGGCCCGTGCTTTGAGTGGGGCAGCTTTCCAGGAGGGAGAAAGCTGCAGGTTGGTAACAACTGATCCACTCAGGCTGCGTGGGTGAGAAGGGCAGGGTGGGCTTCCCAGCGTGCGTTCTGGTGGTGGGGATCATAACCTCCCATCCCCATGGGTACCATGGCTGTCGCCGGGTCTGCATCCCACCGGGAAGGACTAGATACGTGAGCAGAGCTAGCTGGAGCACCCAAAAAAGCAGAGGAGGCAGACCCCAGAGCTCCTCATGGGTGGTGTCGGCGGCGGGGGGTTACCTGGACTGCAGGCAGTGGGGTTTTGGCTGGTTCCCCTCCAAGCTGGCTGGCTTTTCGCATGATGGGTTTGTTATCCCCCACTCAGGGAGCCCCTGAGTTGAGAGGAGCAGCTCGTCCCTTCCCCGTGCCGTGTCCATCTCTCTGACAGGGTGACCTGTGGTGGCTCCCGCACAAATCCCACCCTGCTGAACTCCCTGCTCCTGCTGTGGGGTTCTTAAAAGCACAGGGGAGTGAAAAACACAAGTGTCTTTAAGGCTAGGAGATGGCCACCCCCTGAAATAGCTGCCGGCCTGAAGATCTGGAGGTGGGCATCCAAGGTGCAGGGCAGGTCGCCTCTCCTCCCTGGAGCTGGGGAGGGAGCAGCCGGTGGCTGCCCTCACGTTGGGCAGACGGAGGCAAACAAAGACAAGAACAGAGACTTTTCTGGGTTGTTTTTCGGATCCCGATCACGAAGCCACGCTGCTCCAGAGCCAGCACCTGGCCCTGCTGCCTGGCCCCACCGAAAAGAGACAGTCTGTCTGCCTTGCGCTTTCGGGGAGGCTTTGAGAGCCCTCCTGACTGTAGTACTGCCTCACGTGGGAGGCTCCTCTCTCTGTATTGCTGCCTGAATGCAATTAGGCTTTAATGAGTCATTAAAATAAATCTCTGTTTCTACTCCAAGCGAACATGCCGGGGGGATGCTGACAGTTGGAGCAGCAGGTCTTGCATCATGCGGAGGAAGAGGCTGCGCTTCCCCGCGCCCTCCTCCCCAGGGCTGGGCCGTGGCACCCTCCATCTCCTTTTTCCATGGGAAAAAAGGGACGTTTCCCAAGCACCATGCAGGTTTGCAGCTACTGCGGGAATGGGATTAAATTATAGCCAGCCCTGGGGTTGGTTGTTTTGGAGGAGCGGTGGTCTGAAGGTTATCTGCTCCTTGATGCTGAAGGGCACTTGCCTGGCTAGAAGTGGGCAGAGATGTAACCAGCCCTGGTTTTCAGCTCCTGGTTTGTTAAAGATGCTGATGGCTTATGGCCGTGTCCTTTCTAACCCGTATCTGGGGCTGAAGGGAGATGAACATCAGGCGAGCACCGAAATATGAAAGGGAAAATGTGGTGCACCACTGACAGACATCCATATAGTTTTCCTAGATGTAAATGGGATTTAAAGAGAGCTCGTGAGCAGAGAGGGGTGGTGGTGGCCCCTCTCCTCCTGGTCAGATACAAGGCTCGTCTTCCTTCCTGCCACCCAACTGGTAAATGGTCCAGTTACCCCTAATGATGTCTTTGCTAATTTAATCCCTCCGCAGTGGCTGTCTCACTGGCACGCTCGCGGGCAGACGGGGGGGCAGATGCTGGGGGGGGACACGGGGGGGGACGTCCCCTGCGCGTCCCCAGGGAACAGCATCCCCCAAACACACAGTCGCTCCTTCAGCCACCGGCCCCATAACGTTATCCAGGCTGCAGGAGGGCACGAGTTAAAACCAGGGATTGAGCAGGACAATTTATTTTCTATTTTATTTTAGCAAAACGGATAAATTGGGTGACGTTGAGGCACGACAGATCCAATCTGGTGCGACTCGGACCGCGTTGCCTGAGCGTGCCGCGCCGGGGGGGCTGAAGCCGATGGGATTACAGAGGCTCCAGCCTCAGCCAGAGCTTTTCCCCTGGGCTTTGCTTTTGGGAGCAGAGCTTGCTGCTACATGAAAAGGTTTTGCACGAGTTGTGTTTTATACATCAGGCTGGGAGGAACGGGGACAGGGCAGCGAGGGCAGATCTGGGTGGGAATTGGGAAACTGGGCAGAGGATTTTCCTGGGAATGATGGAAATAAGGTGGAAAGGGTGAGGTGGCACTGATGTCCAGGGCAAGCAGGGAGATAACGAAGTGGTGCCTTGGAGCAGAAGCTGTCCTGGGGGCTGGTTCAAAGAAAGCCAGTGAGAAACTGTCTTAATGAAAAAAAAAATCTTTACTGGGAAACTCGCTGCTGTGCTTGGTTGGATCTTGGTGGGGATGCTCCTGGCTGTTGCACAATGATTCTCCTGGGACTGATCCTCCTCTTCCAGTGTGTGCCTGGGGATGAAGAAGCATTTTCTGTCACCAAGTCCCCCGGTGGGGTTATCCCCACTGGGGAGCAGAGCACTCACCTTCCTGTGGTAGAGCAGTGAGAAAATCAAACTGGGGGGAAGATCGTATCTCCACAGGGTGTGTTTGCAGCCCCTGGGGAACGGGGGGATCCGGCCGAGGTCTTTGTCTCCCTGCCCTGATGGGAAGAGCCCAGTGGTGTGAAAATAAATGGGTGCTGAGGAGATGAAGGTTTCATCTTGGAGCCATGGGGGTGCTGGGGAAATACTGACCCAGGGCTGGGAATCCTTGAAGGGAGGCTGGCTCCGTCACACTGCTGGGGAGGATCTCCAGGCTGCAGGATCAGCCGGACCCTGATCCATCACCTGGACCCTCCTCGGCCCTGAGGCCTCGGTGAGGGATGGCTGGAGGCTGAGAGCTTTTAAAGAGGTCCCTGCTGCCCCGCTTTGCTTGGCTGGTAGCTTCTCACCTTCTCCTGGGCAAGTGCTGGGAACGCTGGCGGACGCAGGGGAAAGGCGGCTGGCGCTTTACCACAGGGTTAAGTCAGTCGTGGGATACCTACACCGGTGCAGTGAGCTCCTGCAAACACCAAGGGTGACGTTGGGGTGGCAGCAAATAACCCTTCCCGCTCCTTTCTGGGCGCTGCTGTGACAGGGGGATTTAGGAGCAACATAGGGTGCAAATCAGACCCAAGTCCTTGCTTTCCGGGGATCCACGGCACGGCAGGATCCAGTCTGGGCTCCGGCTCTCTGCTGGCCGTGGCTGTGGGCACAGTCCCGAGCCTTCAGCTTTCCTGTGCGGCAAAATGCTCCGGCTTTTTGTCGAGGGTCGGTCTCACCTGCAGCATGCCCAGCATCCCAGCTCTGCACGGCCTCGCTCCGCTCCCGGCACGGACGCTGCTGCCCTGGCTGCCCGTCGCGGGGGCTGTCGGGGCGCTGGGAGGGACGGTGCCTGCGGCAGGGACGCTGGCCAGGTCCTGGCTGGCTCTGGAGAGCCCATGGGGTTCTGACGTGCGGGATAATCTCAGAAACCCTTCTCTGTGCAACTTGGCTTGATGCCGCCAGTTTTGTCCCTGGTTATTTTGGGACCATGGCACGTGTGCCCGGGCTTGGCCGTGGGTTTTGCTGGGAGCGGCCCCGGGAGGGACCCCGCGGGCAGCAGCGGGAGATGAGCCATGTGGGTCAGGCCAGGGACATTTCCATCCCGCGTCCCACCGTGGGTTGCCCACATCTGATGCCTTCCCCCTGTCCGGGGCTGCACATTCACCCCTTCTTGGGGCTGCACCCACTCACCGTGGCTCCCAGGCTGGGCTGATCGGGAGCTGGCTGAGCAAACAGAGCGTGGAGATGTGTGGAGGGATGAGGAGAGAGGTGTCATTGTCCTGCGATAGAGAAGGGATGTAATTATACAGGGACTTGCCCAGATCCAGGTGTAGCCCTGGCCACGCCACAGGCTTTGCAGTACCATGTTGATAAGTATATGCTTGCAGGGGGGACAGGACGGTCCCTTCCATGTCCTTCCATCCCTACACACGGTTCCAGTTAATCCACGCAGGCAGGCGAGACAGGATCTGACTAGTCGCTGAGGGAGATAAAGGGCAGGTGAGATGCCCAAGTAACGAGACAGTGGTGTAATCCGCACCTGAGACATCCCAGGCTGCAAAGCCACCCTTCCTCAAAAAATCTGTGAAGTGCCAGGAGGTCTCCCTGGGACAGGGATGCGGACGTGCCGGCCGGTCCCAGGACGTGCCGGGGCTTCGCACACCTGACGGTGCCACGGCTGGGGATTGGAGGGGGATGCCCAGTCCTACGTGGCTGTAAGTGCGATTACTGCTGGTGGGGAAGGTCCACTGGGCTCCCACAGGGCAGGGTGCAGCCTGGTGAGGGAACTTAAGTTGGCAAGAAGGTGTGTTTTGGCAGAGTTTGATGCCCAGGAGCGGGGATCTCCTGGGCTCGGTGGGTCGGCAGCGTGGTGTTAGCAGCAGGAGCGCAGCTCCTCGTGCCCACCCAGGAGCTGGGCTCTGGCTGGCGGCTTGCACCCATGAAGTGGCTTGGTTTTTGTTAATTGCAATTAATATCTTGCCTTTCCCACAAAGCTTTTGCAAGAAAGGAGCTGGTTTCAAAACTTTGTCAGTATTTCTTCTTTCTTGTCTCTCAGGTGGGGAGGAGCAGGGCCGGGAGGAAGCGGCGGCGAGCCCCGGGGGAGCTGGGGCGAGTGGTGGAGGGAAAGCAAGGGCAGGCTTGCGGCAGGGCACGGGATTTTCGGTTTTGATGACTGACTGCAAATCGCCAGAGCCACAGCTGGGGGACGGTGTCACCTCTGCGACCTGGCTGTCCTTGCGGCGGTCAGGAGCGAGGAGCCGGGGCCCTGCTGCGGTTTCCCTCGCAAAACTGCCGGGCCAAACCCCGCACGGCTGGAGGCACCAAAGGGGTCACGGCGAGAAAAAAGCCTCGGGCCGCGCAGAACACCCTTTCTGCTGGGAAAAGCCTTTTTTGGTTTTCTCTGCAGCAGCCTGAAATCAAAGTTTTCCCAACCGCTGCTGTGATTTCTGTCCGCAGGCTGGTCCGAACTCAAACATAACTCGGGCAGAACCAGCGCCGCTCCCGGGGGTGTTATTGCTGCAAAGGGGAGCGGGGTTGCTCCGGTCACCCAGTGCCACGGGCAATTTTTATGCCTTAAAGATGCTTTTTACTCAATATATTTATTAACAACATATAAAAAGTCAGAAGGGGCTGGCTCCATCCTGGCCCTTCCCCCCTCCCCCCAAAATGATGGGGCTTAAGCAAGGGTAAATCAAAGCAGCAATTTGTAACTCCTCCAAAAATCAGTGTTTGTGAGGCCTAGGGCGGGCAGCAGGTTCAGCTCCCTGGTGACCCTCGTGGATCCCTTAATTAAGAGTTTAAAGGCTTCAAAGTGACACAGTGGTTTGGGACCTGGGCAAGAACCCCGGGGGCGAGTGCTGGGGCTGGAGGGAGGCTCTGGGGGGGCCACCACATCCTCCTGCATCCCACATTGCTATTGCTCTTTGGACTTTCATTTGGACTCTGCTCATTCGGGGTGGGGGGGGCTTCTCCTGGTTTCTGCTCCCCCATGACTCGGCTCGTCCCCTTACGCCTTGCAGCATCCGACATGCAACGAGTTTGCAGGGTCTCAGCCCTCTTCGTGTACCCAAGGGGGCGAGGGGGAGGGATGTGCTGCTCGTGTCCTGCCCTCGCCGAGCTTTGCAACCGTGGATTGATCCACCCAAATCCCGCCGGGCTGAGCCCATGAGGGGCAGGCTGCAGCCGCCCGGGAGCTGCCCTGTTGTTTGCTGCCGTAATCTGTTTTGAAAAGGCAGCCCCTGATGCTGTTTTTTTCCAATTAGGCCCTGGGAGATGATTCTGGTAAGGCAGCAGCCGGGCTAATTTACCAGGCAGACATTTCATTGAATTAGCCCGTGAGCTGCAGAGCAAAACCGGGAGAGCAGAGCCCGGGCTGGGGCAGGACTGGCCGGTGAGGTTTGGCATGATGCTGGCGGCAACTAGCTGTGCTCTGCCCGAGCCTAAAACCTGCTCCTGAGCTCTCGTGTTGGTGTTTGACCCTTGCTGGGTGCAGGGGTGAGCTCGGGGCTGGTGGGATGCACCGGGCGAGGAAGGATGGGAGTTTCTCAGCTGGGCTGAGAGTGCTGGCAGCTGGCAAAAACCTCCCAGCAACTTGCAAACCGTGCGAATCTGTGATGGACGTCATTGGAGGGGAATAAATATAGAAGCCTGAGATGCTGCTCGTTCCCAGAGTCACTTTTCAGGCCGTAACTGTGCGCTACGAGGCGAAATCAATTAAAGAAAATGTATCTCTGCAGCAAGCGGTTTTGCAGGCCTGCCCGGAGGAGTTCGATACGGCCGGGGACCCTCCCTCCGCCCGCTCCCATCCCCATCGGGGACAGTGTGACACCACTGCCTAGCACCTCAAAATAGCTTCCTGAAAGCCAGCGAGGTGCAGGGAGGGTAACGCAGCCCCACTCGTATAAATCCTGATTTTATTCAGCAGTGGTTTGTGTGCCAGAGGGTCCCCGTGCCCGCCCTTGGGGCATAGCCCCCCCTCCTGAGCCGCCCAGGAGCAGGTGAGTGGTGAGCACCAAGGCATCTGCTCAGCGTGGGATACTTAAATATTTAAACAACCCACAACTCCCTTTTTAAGGCAGAAGGGGAACTGGGACTGCGCCCTGGGGAGTTTGGCTTTGCAGGATGTGCATCCCCCCGGCGATGCCTCTGCAGCCGCGGGGCTCGGCTCACGGTGCAGCCCCAGGCCTTTCGGGGACCCCTAAAAATGGGGTGATGGGGCTGTGCGGTGCCCGAGCCTGGGGGGACGTGAGCCAGCGGAGCCCAAAATGCCCCTTTCCTGGCAGGTTGGGATGTGCTTGCGGGGAGCGGGTGGAAAATGGAGATGGGCTGATCCCCGGCAGCAGGGAAGTGGCTGCTGCGACTGTAGTGTGGCTCGTGCAAGGGCTGGAAAAGGCTGTTGTAGTTGTCCTGACCCTTTCCAGGCATATTTACCTTATAATTCCCAAGACCTCAATTACTCATGAGGCTGGGGCTCTTGCTCCTTCGGTGGGAGGTGTTACATCCCCTCCTGCATCCCTGCAGAGGAGAGCCGTGGGTTAGAGAAGGCTGTTTTGTAGGTGCAAAATGTTTTATAGGCACAAACTGGGTAGAAAAAGAACTGCTAGGCTGCTGTGAGCAGGAGGTGGGGGGGGAGAAGGGGAGGAAACCTCCTCCTCTCTGAAAGCATCACCTTCAAAAAGATAAGGAAAGGCAGCGCTTCTCTTCTGGTTCGTTTTAAATATTGCCTTTTTTTTTTTCTTTTTAACATTCACTATTTTAATAAGGAAGAGCCTGGCTCTTGAGCGGGGCTGGTGGAATGCTGATCCCAGCAGCCCCAGAAATGGGAATGCTGGGGATGGGGCATGTGGAAGCGCAGCGGTCCTCGAGGTCAGACTTGGACATGACCAAAAGGTCCCCAGGGCCGGTCTGTCCCCACCTGGGTCATTCTCCGAGGCCGCCTGCTCGCTCCAAACCTCAGGCTAATTGGATATTGCTCCCCGAGCTCTAAATCAAATCACAGCCCCCGTGAAATGAAGTTTTCTGGATACGGACGGCCTCCTGCATCATCCATCATCACCCGGCTCATGGCTCATCCCTCTTGGGGGTCATCGAAGGTCAACGTTTGCCTTTTCCAGCCACCACCATCAGCTTTTCCCTGTTAAAGATGCCACCCAGGGAGGCAATAACTCCATCGAAGGCCCCCCAGTGTTTCCCCACACCATCCCTGGTTGCGTTTTGGGGTGCAGTTTGGTAACAGGGCGCCGGAGCCGAGCGTGCCAGGGTCTATTATTAGCTCTGTATTGGGTTCCTTGATGGATGGAGGTATTAGCTGGGTTATGCACCTATTGATTTCTCATGGTTTTTTTTTTTGTTGTTTTTTTTTTTTTTTTTTCCCTTTGTTTCGTGTGTGAGAGCGGCTCAAGGAGGAAATCCAATGCGCTCCCGCTTTTTGGCTCCGTACGGGAACTTTCCAAGAGCTGAAAATCAATTTGTGTCAGGCCGGATCCTGCAAATCACTGCAGAGGAGCGAGGAGGGTGGGTGATATTGGGGGGTGGGGAGGGTTCCTCGTGATGCCCGCCAGAACGTGTGGCAGCAAGGGGCTGGGGCAGAGTTGGGCAGGTCTCGCCTGGAAGCTGCCACCTCCCTCCGTCAATCAGGGCTGCGTGGCGAGTAGGTAATTACATCTCCTTGGCTGCAACCGGCTGGCACTCGGGCCCTATCAATTAGCCTTGCTCTGGACAAGGCACAGCGGGATGTGGGGTCAGTAATGAAATGTGGTCGTGCCAGGCATCGACGGAGGGTGGGGGTGAAGGGTGCACCCACTTCTTGGGCGCAAGTCTCTCGCTTTTGCTGAAATTGCAAGTTTTGGGCGCGGGATTGTCCTTCGGTGGCGGTTTGGGTTTATTTTGCAGCACCCGCCTTTCCCGCCCGTCTCCCGAAAGAAGGAATGCGTTTAGCCCCGCCACGGGGACGGAGGTGGCACCGGCGGGGATGGGGACACTGGGCAGCCCCCCCTTGGGCAGGGGGATGAGCTGACGGTGGTGGGTTTTTCTCCTTGTCCTCCCTCCCAGGGCTGCCGGCGTCTCCGCGTGGCCATGCAGCGCTGCCTGGCCCGGCCGGCCGCCCCGGGGCCGGCGTGACCGCGACGTCCTGCCTGTCCTTTTCTGGGTAGGTGCTCGGGGGGTGGCGGGGGGGTGCTGGGGCTCGCCAGCCCCAGAGGGGGTGGAGGGGAGAACCCCCTTTCCCAGCAGCACGTAAAACATTGTCCACTTGTGAGCTGATGCATCTGCCTCCTCCATAATTAATTTTAAAGAGGAAAAGGCCAAGTGCTGACTAAGCCAGGCCTTCGCCCTGCGAAGCTGCGTGATTCACGAGCTGCTCATAGCCTTGTCCTGCAGAGTGTTTCTCCGACTTTGGGAAACGCCTCCGTTCCCTGCTCCAAATTAAAGAAAACAATCCTAATTCTAATAATTACCATCATCACGGTCATCATCGTCATCTGCAGGACCCAAAATGCTTTTTGCACCACGGAGGCTCCCGGGGGCGCAGACACGTGCTGAGCCCCATCCCTGCGGGATGCGGGACGTGAGGCAGGGCTTCCCACAGATCCTAAATTGAGGCAAATTCTTGGGAAGTGGGGAAACGTGAGTGGGTGCAAGGGGTGCTGGCGGGCCACGGCTAACTTCTCCCTCTGCTCCTTCCAGGTCCAACGCCTCCGTCACTGAACGTAAGTAGGCAGGGGGATGGAGGGGGGGGCTGTTTGGCTCGTGCCAAACTCATGTTAGACCTGTTGGTGCCCAGCAGGCAGCCGGGGTGCATTTTTTTGGACTCACAGTGCCAAAGTTGTGGAGTTTAAAGGCCCCCCCCCTTTGGCTTTTCTTGCTGGAAACCCAGGTTCGCTTCTGTGTTTTGGAGCAGAAGCTGTATTTTCTGCTGGCAGGGTGGAAATCGGCCCTTTGGGCTCAGCAAGGGGGGAGGCTCTGCGGGTGAACTGCGGGGTGTTTCTCGAAGACCCCGAGGCAGAGACAGCGATGGCAGCGATGAGACCTGATGCTGCATCTCAGGCATCCCCTCACTAAGAGGAGGGGGATGATATTGGGGGGGTGGTTTTCTGGTTGGGGGGACAGGACCAGGGATGCCTCATGGGCGGCACGTCTGTGCCGTGATGATGAAGCCATGGTAGGTGATTGTCATGTCCCAGGGTGACGCGTGTCCCCGTGGCTCTGCCTTTCAGAGTTTGATGGAGAATCGGTCGGATGACAGCGGGAACTGTTGTTATCACCGGGGGAATCCTAGCGACAGTGATCCTACTGTGCATCATCGCCGTGCTCTGCTACTGTAGGCTACAGGTGAGTGCCACGGCTGCCCCCCCTCTCTTGTCACGAACCCCAGCAGCGTCGCTGCTCCTTGGGCTGAACTGCCACTGCAGGAGGGATCTCAGGTTTTTTTTTTTTTTGCCCACGATGGGCAGGGAGTTGAAACATTTTTTCCCCCAGGTGCCGCAGAGTCACGTCCTTTCCTCCTCCCGCTGCCGGGGGAACTCCCCTAAGGCTTTTGAGGACCTGCAGCCCTTGCTAATTTAGGTGTAGGCTTGGCTGGGTTTGCAATACCAGATGGAGATTTTTAGATTTTTGGTTTTTTGTTTTTTTGTTTTTTTCCCCTTGTAAATTAAATGAGGAGGCTTTCAACAACAGCTAGCTTACAGCCTCCTGCTCTTTAAAAGTTAATGTGAAGCCCGCGCCACGCAGCAGCGCCCCTGCGATGAAAAGCACAGCGGTTACTTGGAGGAGTTTCCACCTGGCAGGGTAAAATCCCTTCCCCTTGCAAACCTCGTGGGGAGGGGAGAGGACGAGCTCCCTGGCAGCCGCCTCCCGCACTGCGCTCAGGTCCCAGGTTTTGTCGGGCTTCTGCTGCTTTGCAGGACCCAGGTACCGCTGGAGAGCAGCGAGAGGCCGGCGGGTGGTTCCCGGGGCAGGGGACTGTGAAGCCGAATCTGCCCGCCGGCTGCCCCGCTCCCCCTAACACAGCCCCTTCCCTTTCGCGCAGTACTATTGCTGCAAGAAAGATGACTCCGATGAAGAGGAAGAGGAGGAGGAGGAGGAGGAGGAGGAGGAAGAGGAAGAGCCTGACTTGCCCCCGCACTCGCACCTCGGCACGTGCAACGCCTGCAAGTCCCGCGTGGTGGATGGCCGGGGCAGCCCCGCGCCCGACCCCAGCGAGCTCAACCAGCACGGGGCTCACAACTACTGCCCGACCTGCTCGCCCTACAGCTCCCCCTTTTACATCCGGACTGCCGACATGGTGCGCAACGGGGGCGAGAGGGTCGCCTTCGCCCCCGCGTGCTACAAGGAGATGGGGCCGCCCCTCAACATGGCCACCCTGCAAAGCTACCCGGTGAGCCGCCACGGCCTCCTCCGCGAGAGCTTCCCGAACCCGCGGGCTGTCAGCACGGAGGTGTAGACACCATCGTCCCTCGCACGGGGGTGCCCCCGGCCGGCGCCGGCTCGAGGGAAGGGGCTTTTCGCTTGTCTTTGGGGAGCTGGGGGCGGGGTGGGTGGTGGTGGGGTGTTTCCCTGCAGAGAGGACCCCATAAGCCCAGCCCAAGACCAGCACGGTCCTCCTGCCAAACCGCCCGGCGCGGCTCAGCTTTACGGGCGAGAAGACGAGAGAGACCTCGGAGGGCCACCTCCGGACCCATCGTGTCATTATTATTCTACTCTGTCTCCTGAAGGGACTTGTCTAACGAGGGCTATGTACAGTACAACCTAATTTAATTACCCCCCAACCCCCTGAGCGAGGCCTTCGGTGTCCCCGCGCAGACTCCTGAGGGGACGCCCGGAGCGACCCGGTAAATCCCACCGCCGGGCTGGGAACGGCAGCGCTCCTCGGCGATGGGGAAGGGAAGGTCTGGATCATCCTGCTCCCCTCGTCGCCGCTAGCGGTTAGCTTTTATGTTTGAGTGTAAGACAGGACACCGTCTCCCACCCGCTTCGGTCTTTGCACGTGCTGAAGAAGTTCAAGACATGAATTTAGATCACTGCCGGGGGAGGCACAAGTTGCTCGCAAAAACCGCTCACCTACGCAAACAGGCACAGGCGGAGCCTTCTGCAGCCGAAGCCCCCACATCTTCTACTCTTCACAAGCTTTCTTAGTGATTTTAACTCGGACCCGTTAAAATGGTGAGATTTTATTTACAAGAGTCACATCCCTTAAATAACTGCAGTTTTGGTCACCCTCAGCGCTCGAAGCCCTCCTCACCCTGACGGCTCCGGACAGCCAGAGGCAGGTTGGCTTTAGGACGGCTTTTGCCTTTGACAGCAACAGCAGAGCTCACCAGGTCATGTCTCCTCCTTTGCGGGGCCCACGACGTCCCACGGGACAGCGAGGCTCTGGTGGTGTCGGGGCCCCCCCTTCTTTTGCTGTTGGAAGAAGAAGGTGCAAGCACCCAAACCTGGGTTCACCGGCTCTGTGGCTCGGTAATGACAGTCAGCGACTCTGCCTTTCTGCAAGAATGAATGTGGGAAAGTTCCTTCTTCCTTGATAAATCAAATTAGGTGAAAAATGCCTAAAAGGATGTCTCCATCGCTCACCGGCGCTTCCAGAGCAGCCGGTGCAGGGCTGCTCGGCTGAGCGGTTCCCATCCCTGGCCGGGGGGAGGGACCCGGGCAGCAACGATCCCCACAGCCGTGCGGATGCTGCGGGAGGCAACGGCAGGAAACGCTTGCCGTGCCTTTGCAATATAGGGTAGGGCTGCTCAGAAATGGGAGCGGTAGGGTGTTTTGTTTTGTTGGTTTGTTTTTTTTTTTTTTTTTGTTTTGTTTTGTTTTGTTTTTCACCACCGCAATTTAGAAATCATCCTGCTCGCTCACAGAAGGGTTTGGACTTAACCTCCCCGTTCACGCGTGGAAAAAGCAGGTCTCGGCACGGAGGCGCGCGCGCACGCTACGTGAGCCTCAGCTGTCTACGTTATCAGGCGAGAGGCTGGTTTACACTTTGGACCTGCTCATGCCTTGGCACCTCTGCTCAAAGTACCCGAAGGAGAGGAGCCGGACGAACGCCAAATGTGGTGACTCCTGGTAACCCAACACCCTGTCCCAGCCTGCATTTTACACAGCCTTTTGAGCAAACGTTATGCACCGTCTCCCCCACCCCTGGCCCAGAAAGACACTGCATTTCCATTATCCTGAGACTCAGTCAAGCTGCATCTCTTTTAGAGAGCCTCCTTCCACTCTCCGAATAGAGATAGCAGGTTTTAAATGTCCTCTCACATTGAGGGCAGGCGGGAGGGAAGATGAGTTAGCAAGCAGCAAAGCTCTCTGGATCCCACTGGACGACAGAGCTATGGACTGCTGCTTTCCATCCAGCCAGTAGTCTTCCCTGAAAATACAGGCTGTGACGGGGAGAAAAACCTTGGCTAGCTCAGTAAATTCCATCCATTCCCCCTGGAGCATCTGCTCAGCCAGCTCCCTGTCCTGCTGGGAGCCAGAAGTGTATCGGTCCCGGTGCGCTCTGGCAGAGGGCCCTGCGCTGCCGTCCCTCGAAGGGCGCAGAGCCAGCTCGCCGGCACGGCGGCTCCCGGCACCCAGCGCCGCCTCTCGGCACACACCAAGGCTTCCCCTTCCCCTTCCCCTTCCCCTTCCCACCGGCCGGGCCGCCAGCTCCGGAGGGTGGGAATGGCACCGGGGGGGGGGGGGGGGGGGGGGGGGCTTTGAATTTTGGGGGTCACCCTTCTGGTGAAAGGCAGGCAACCGCATCGTCACCTTCGTCACGAGCAAACGGAGCGTGAGCTGTCGCCCGCTAACGAAGGGCAAGGGCTGGAGAGGCAGTTCCAGAGCACTTGGATGGCCAGGACAAGGGTTATCCTCACGGCCAACACAACGCCCTGGGTCTGGCCCAGCTTGAGTCTGAAAGGGCTGGAAACACAGGAGACGCAACTGCAGGTTAGAAGGTTTTGGGGATGGTGGAGGAACAGGACGGGATAGGGGCAGGGATCCCAGATTTTTTTCCACTTCAGATTCCTCCTGTTATTATTCTCTGTCTTTGTTGCTCAGCTATGGGTCCAAATTCAATGTCAGAAATAAACGAGGACTTTGAAATACAAAACAGGAGTGGTTTCTGTTCTTTGGTAGTCAACACAAAATGGGGTTTATGCAGGACTGCCTGGAAGCTCTACTGGTGCAAGGATTTCTCCTCCCTACCCTTCCTGCTCCTGCTTTTGCTCCTGTGTCCCTCCTCCTCCCTTGCCTCTGGCCTAGGCACATGCACCCCAAAACTACACTTTGATAGTTTAGCTCTTTATTGTGACACAGAACTTTTCAGTGTGTTTTGGAAATTGCCCTTGTAGTGGAAGAGTCTGCAGGGCAGACCGGAGACGGCTGCTGTCCCCTGTGCCCCGCTGCGGGCTGGCCTCCGCACCCCACCGCCTCCAACGAGAGCTCTTCAGAGGTGATGACAGCAGGGACGGGCTTGCCCAACTCACTTCTCAGTAGCTTGCTAGGAAGTGATGGTTTGTCTTGTGTAAAATCCTCTTGGTGGAGAGGGAACGGTGAGGACTAAGTCCTAGGAATCCTTCCTCGCTGAGTAGGCTGGTCTACAGGGACTGGCTCCGCAGCCAAGCCAAGTGGGGTGGCTTCAAGTGGTAAAGTCTGGCTCGAGGGGGCTCTTGCCCCTGAACTTGGATGGAACACACAGCCTGGCAGCAGTCAGGGTGACTTGAGCCGACATGACCGGCAGCAAGCCTTCCTGTAGTACCAGTGAGAGCACAGCTTCACCTTCAGCACCAGCACGCAGTTGGCCATCGTTTTGTCTTCACAGTCTTCCTCTGGGGAACAGAAGCAGCCACAGAAGGGGGTTAAAAAGGTGATGTGCTGTCCCAGCGGGACAGAGCAAAGGGCTCTCAAGGGCTCCTTGCCCTCCCGGTCTTACCTGGTGCCTCTGTGGGGCACGGCTGGAGTTGGCACGCCTGCCTGGCTTCTGGTTTGGAAGCGGGGTCGCAGCCCTGAGCCAGCGTGTCCCCCTGGTAACACTTCACCTCCCGCAGTCGCACACCAGCACCGCACGTCTTGCTGCACTGTCGGGATCAAGAGAGAGGAAAGGGATCGTGAGAGGCATTTTTTTAATTTTTCTATAGTTCCCATGTTCTTTCTTCCAGTGAGGCCTGCCCATCCCTACTTTGGAGACTGTTCTCAAGGAGGTTTGGCTCAAATCCCAAATTTACGCTCCCTTTCTGTTGCTGGAGGAGAGCCTCCCTGAGCCAGGGCTGGGCAGAGGAAGGGAGTAGTTTGCTTTCACCTCTCTAATGCACTTTGGAATTGTTTTTGCTTCGAGTGTTGACGCTGTGATAGAAGATGGAGCAAATGGCTGCTGTGAGCCAGGCCCGGCTTCCCCTGACCTCCCATTCCCTAAACGCTCACCAGTTAAAATCAAGGGAAAGACAGAACATTGACTGGTGGCAGAGGAGGAGACACGGCTGTATCCTGTCTGCCTGCAGTGTGGTGCACGCTCTTGCTTGAGGCAATAATCCACATGCTCCGAGGTTTTCTCCAGCTTGCGTGTGCCAGGCCCTCCGCCTGCTGCCTGGTCTGCAGAAGAGCAGAGCTCGTGGTCCCATCCAGGCCGAACAGAGCCCTCGGCAGAACAAGGCTGCTAGAAAGCCTCAGCGCAGGGTCGTGCTCCACCAGCCAGGGTTATGAGGCCTCCTCTCCCCCTTCCTCACCACCCCGAGCCCTACCTGAGACCAGGAGGTAGTGAACCACGTCGAACACGGCCTCCTGAAACAGGCAGCTTGTTCCTCGGGTTTCTGAGAGGCTTTACAGCGCTTCTCGGGGTACTCCCTGTACACCCCGTTCTCCAGGCCCGCGCACAAGACGACCCTGGTCTTCATCCCTCGCCCACAGCTGGCATCGCACTGGAAACGAGAACGTAACAGCCAGGTAACAAATGGTGATCATCAGCTGCAGGGCTTTGATGAAGATGGCATCCTGCTGGGAAGCAAGGTGCTGAATGCCTGTGCTAACACCAGTCTAAGGGAGGCAGTGCTGCCCGGGTCACAGGAGCGAGGGGTGTCCGCAAACGAGCTGACTTTCTTAGGGGGTGGGGACAGAAGCTGGTAATTTGTGTTTAGGCAGCACTGGGGATGCTGACTTCACCTTGGCTGGCCTTGAGAGCAGCTACCACAAGGGACCTAGAGCTGCCAAGGCAAGACTACAAGAGGCTGTTTCTGCCTAATTTTACGTGTATCTATGTTCTCAAAAAACACGTAGCAACCTACATCTTGGAGTACTGGCAAGCTTTGTATGGGCCTAAGGGGACCAAACTGATGCACTTCAGGTGATTTGCATGGACAAGTACTGCCGAGCCCAAAGCTATTCGAGGCTTAGGTGGGAGGAGTCGCTCTCTCAGGACAGCACCAAGAGAAGCAGCAGGAGGCAGGCTGGGATTCCAGCTCAGCTCTGCTCCCTGATGCCCATGAAGGCAGTCGCCAGTTTGAGATTTCACTGCTTTGTCCCCTTCTTCACCGTGGCAGGGCCAGCAGAGCAGGCTTGGGTCTGCCCTTAGTCATCCCGTGAACGCAGAGCTGATCAGCTGAGAGAACGCGGCGAAGGCAAAGCAGCTGCCATGCACAAAAGCAGCGAGCTCAGCTGGTCTGTCAGAGTTCAGGCGAGTTTAATAGCCTGGATGCAGCTGAAAAACTGCACTGCAGCACTGTGTGACCCACATCGTAGGCCAGAGCGGGAGGGGGTTACGGGACTGCCATGGCTCCCAAGGTTTGACCAGTTTGTGCTTGTTACCAGTGCTGGAGGGAGACTCAGCTGAATGTAGTCAACAGCTATAAAGGGTAGCCAAAGGAGAAGAGAGGTTTAGCTATGGCTGGAGGGGAGAGGGCTCAGCTGCTTCTCTGGAAACCTTCTTCCTTAGTGCTTTTTGAATCCTTATTTTGCTCAAGGCAAAAGCCCAAACCCCACAACTGGCTCCACGTGTTCTTCTGGGTGCTCTGGGATTCCGACCAGCCGGTATCAGGAAGCCTAAAGCCTCTAGGCCTTAAGCAACAGAAGAGGAGTAAGCAGATTGGCAGAGCCCAACCGTTTGGTAGAACGGGGCACCCAGACCATGTTCACTGGACTCTAAGTCCTGAGGCAAGTGCACAGTCATGGCCCAGACGTGACTTCCAGGGCAGGGATCTGGGCTGTGGTTCAGGCTTACCTCTGGCTGTTATTTATCAGATATGAAGCTGGTTTTGTTGAGGCTTTCTCTTTAGTGGTGGGGCCAAAATCTTGAGGGGTGTGAGTGCACATTCTGAACAAATAGCTCTGCTGAGGTGTCTGCAACTGCCAGAGGTGGGGGAGGAGGAGGATTTCCTTAGGACATTGCTGCCCTCCAATGGAGGTCCTTGGGAAGGCAGCAAATGCCACAAACTTTGGGGTGGTCTATAGGGTATGGGTGGGTAAAGCTGTGGTATTCGTTACTCCTTCCCCCTTTCTAAAATGATCTAAAGGATCTACAAGGGTGCAGCTCCATGGCTGGAGGGCGTACCATATAACCTTGCTCCGCCGAGGGAGCAGGGCTCCCACCATCTCCTGTGGGATCTGGGGTGGGAAGGATTGCTGAGGACACAGGGCTGGGCTTGGCTTTACCTGGTCCCACTCCTGCTCCACCCAGTGTGCGGGGCAGTTCTTGTCTCCACATGGATGGACAGCCAGGGGCTTGGTGGCTGGGTCGCACTGCGAGTTGGAGATCACCTTCCCCTCCAGGTTGCGACACGCAATGAAGCGGCTCATGCGTCCCTCGCCACACGAACCTGAGCACTTGGAGGAATAAAGGGCATTTAGACACATCAGAAAGCAGGAAAGTGAAGAGGTCAGGGTTGGTGGTGCCAGGAGACCAGAGCCCAGCCCTGCCACTGGGACTGTGGCACTGGATCCCAAGGGTCTTTAGAGGTAAGGGACTCCCATTCTGCAGGTGCCGTGAGCTTCCCAGATTATTGAATGGAGCTCGCCTCACAGCTCATCAAAATTTGCAGCACGGAGAGGCAAAAATACCGATTATTCTAGCGTCTTTAGCTGAGCCTCTGCCAGAAGGAAGCCCAGAGAGAGCAGTATTGTGACAGCCCACCTGCTCCCTCCCGCCAGCCCTGACCCCCGCCGCCGGGTGCGAGGAGAAGCAGACCCCCCCAGACTCACCGGGCCCCAGTCCGAGGCGGTCCAGCGGCGGTCGCAGGGGGGCCCTGTGCACACCTTCTCGCTGCTGGGCTTCCGCGACTCGTCGCAGAGGGGTGCTTCCACCGAGCAGCGCACCTCCCGCTTCATCGTCCCCTGAGAGCCGCACCGGGCCGAACACTGCAACGGCCATACAGAGTCAGCTCGGAAGCAGAGGACAAGGCGGGACAAGCAAAGGCAAGGGAGGGGGCTATGCCTCCTCCTGTCTCCCTCCTGCAGCACCTGGGGGAGAAGGGAAGGGCCCCAGCAGGGACAGAAAAAGATGGGTCCGTCTCTATCTCTGCTGTTCATTTACTTTGGGTCCTAGAGCTCCGACGCTCCAAGATGTTGATGCCTGGGCTGCTGTTCAAAGTCACTGGGCCACTGGCCCAGTCCCAGGCAGGTTCTGGAAAGTCAGTCAATGGGATTTCGATTGGCTTTCAGCTTCTCTGAATCTCCACGCTACCATTTCCCCTTCACCCTTAGACAGAATCATGGAATCGTTTAGATCCTCTGGAAGAGAGAAGCAAAGCCTCTTGCTGGCAGGGCTTTCATTTGGTCGATGTCCTGTTTGAAAAGTGACCTTAGAAAAAACTGTTTTGCAATGGCCTATGTTTGCTGGGCAGTGCCGGAACGGGGGAGCAGTGGGTAAAGGCAGGCCTTGCTTCCCCAGGATGCAGATGGCCAGGGGCTTCTTCAGCGCCCAAAATCTGCCAGCCACCTTCCTCCAGGCCCCAGCTGCTTACCTCTGGGAGCAAAGCTTCCCTGCCACCTACCTCAGACCACTCGGAGAGCTCCCACTGGGGCCCACAGGCCTTGTTCTTGCAGGCTTTCCTCTCCATGGGCCTGGCCAGCCCAGCTGACTCGCAGAGGTCATCATAAACAGAGCTGTCAAAGCCTGGAGCCAGCATCTTCCAGCAGCGCACAGTGCGGTACTGGTAGCCCTCACCACAGGTCCTGGAGCATTCACTCCACCGGCTGGTCTCCCACCTCCACGAGCAGTCCCCAGGAGAGAAAGCATAAAGAAAAACCCAGGTAAGGGGGACAAGGGGACACGGGGCAGCTGGGGAGTGCCTGCACGCCTGGGACTCCCTCACCCAGCGGCTGCTCATCACGTGTATGTCTGCGTTAAGGCGACACTGGTCTTCAAAGCCAACTTTGCCCTTAGCTGGCAATTTAGACAGCGAATTCCTTCCCTCTTTTTGCTTACAAGGGGATGCAAGGGCTTAGCTGTTTAAGCATATCTTCCAGCCCAGAAAAGGTCATATACCCTGAGCAGAAAACGATCCTCACAAAGATCCACTGTCCCCGCGGACAGCTGATGCCATTTCCACTCACCTAGGCTGGCAATCTCTCCCCGTGCAAAATTCGTGAGTAGGTTCTGGTCGCGTTAGGGCATCGCAGTAAGTTTCATCTACTTCCACTCCATCGTACCGGACACACATTGCGTAGGAGGTGCTGATACCTGCTGGGCAATCAAGACCCTCTCTTGGTCAGGCTTCACCAGATCCAAAAGTCTCCTCCCACCATGATTACATTACTGGAGGGCTCACTGCATCTGAAACTCTGCCTGCCATTTTAAAAAATACCAGTATTCCCTCCATCAACAGCCAAAAAGGACTTCACGTGATCAGTCACTTGAAGCCAAACCTACCTGAAGTGCACGTGGAGCTGCAGGGAGCGTACGCCGAGACTTTCCACCGATACATGTCAGCCAAGCTGATGTCGTCGTGGCCCACAGGGCTCACATCGAACTCATTGCTGTCGAAAAAGGAGGCGGCGTGAGCTAAAAATGAAAAATTGTTGCAAGCATAAAATACAGTGAAATTCTCCCTGTCTCTGAAGATGGGAACAAACTCAGCGTTTCTCCTCTCCATTTCCCCCACCTTGGACAAGATGGGCCACTGATGAACAGAGCACAAAGCTTTGACCCACCTCCTGAATTCAACTAGCAAGGCTGTGGATAGCCGTGGATCAACATCCCTCTGAGAGGAGGCATTGTTCATAGAAACTCTCGTGTGTATTATGGCTTTTCGACCACACTGATGCCCTCAGCCTCAGCTTATACTATCACTTTGAGAGGTATGACATTAGGTTGGAAAGGGGAGCTCAAGGAAGGTCCCTCTTCTCATATAATGTGGTGGGAGAGTTCACACGTGGCTTGTCAGAAAAGCTTAAAAATTGGCCCTCAGTCTCCTGCCAAATGTTTACTGAGGTTACAGGAGCTTAAGAGCCCAGAGAAATGGGACAGAAGGGGCATGATGTGGTGGTAAATGTGTGTATGTGACATGCTATAGACTCCTGGCCTCCTTTACAACCACATCAGTGTTGGCCTCGCAGGTCCTTCAGCATCCATTTAAATGGAGCCCTTAGAGGCAGGGGGACATGAAATACGTTCTGGGAGCTCCGTGTCAGGCCAGTTGTGACAATCAGTCTTCGAAGGACACACCAGTGGTCAAGCATCTACAGCAGCTGCCATGGATAGACACTGGTGAACAGGGACATCAAGGACAGCAGTGAGACTACCAGAGGACTGGCCTGACCCTCCCACCCCAGCTAACCACGCTCCTGTTCTGCCCAGGAAATCAAGTGCCACCTTTCAGTGCCAGGGGCTTGCAGGGGCTCTGCCTGGCCGATGTCCGCGGTTGGGCTGGCACCTAGCAGAGGGCTCTCCACAGATGCCATCATGCTGATGTTGGCTGCTTCCCCCTGACTCCCAGCAAATGCCTCCACCTTCAAGTCCTCCAGTGAGTTCTTACGGGCCGGCGCTTTGTGGAGGCCCTGCGGCCACCGGGCAGCTGTCTGGGTCCATAGTCCTGCTGTGGAGTTCCTCGGGGCCAGCCGGGCTGCCAGGTGCTGCAGCTCCCTACAGAAGGCAGTGTTGTGTGGGTCTCGGTGACACAGTCGCCTGAAGAGACGAAGCCTGGAGGATGCTACCCGGCTGTTCTCCGACAGCTCGGATTTCCTCATGCTGTAGGGTACAGCTGTGCTGATGGAAATCTGATTGTACCTGAGAGCTGGAAGAAATACAGAGGACGCTTTATACTGGATGGCTTGTACTTCAGCATGTGGTATTTAACAAGGCAAAAAAAAAAAAAAACAAAACAACATTCAGTATTTGGCCTCAAAATCATAAATTGCCACCAGGGTGCACCAACACTTAACTGCCTTGACCAACTTCACACATGCTCTGCCCAGTGCTCAGGAGCTCCACTTGAGCTCAGGCCTGGGCCTTAATTTCTGGCCTGGGCAATGCTGCAGGTGTACTTTGTTCCTGAATCATTCTTTGGCTTTCCCAGACTGACCTCAGATTTGATTTGTGACCTTGCTTTCACCTGATGATCACTGGCCTGTTGCTACGAACTGTTGGTGTCGCTGCCCTGCTTGCCGAGCTCGGGTGCCGTGGGCCTGCCCTGCCCGAGAGGGCACTGCTGCATCTGTATGGTGGGCACTCACTCCCAGCTCCCCTTACGGAGCTACTGGCCCTTGCTGCTCCCTGACAGTCTCCAGCCCACTATAAATCATCATTCCCTCCTGGCTGCCCTGATGGTAAAGCCACCTTAGATTTCAAGACGACCAGTGTGGGATGTCTGCTTTCAAAGAACAAAAATAGGACAGAAGGAAAAACAAAGCAACCAACCCAACTCTGTTTCTCCACCAATTGCTGCTGCTTCTTCCTCCTCTTCCTCTCCTGTGTTTGCATGGTAGACCTGTCTTATCTGGAAGTCATACTTCTCCTTCTCTTCACCTTGTTCCCAGCCCCAGTCCTGAGTCTGACTGGTGGAGTTGGTTTGGAAGAAGTGCGGGTGGCCGAAGCCTAAATCTTCATGCCCTTCTCTTAGAGGAATCTGTTCACTGGTGTCATCTGGTGACAGGGAGAGCCACGTGGCATTGAAGTCCTGAGCAGCTCTGGAGTTGGCTGGAACGGGATGGTTCTGGCTGGTCTCCGGTAGGTGATGATAGAGAGGTCTGTCTACAGCAGGGGCTGCAGTTCGGAGAGGTGGTGTCCGTGGTACAGTGTAGTCATAAGTTATGTGTGGCATTTTCCCATTAAAGTTATAGTACTGGAGGCAACAGGGAAAGAAAACAAAACCCTTTTTATTTTAAGGACATATATTTCCCAGAGATCTCTTCTAGCCACATCCGTTTTGTGATGGATGTTAAGAGAAGACATCGTCCTCATAAACCCAAAGAAACCTCCCAAGACAGTATCTGGCTTCCTCAGCCACCTACACACTCAGGTTTGGCTTGGGAACCAGGTTAATATTCCCTTTGTCTGAGGGAGGCTTACATTTTTGGGACAGGCAAGACAGGAAAGCCTAAAACTAGCTCCTCACATACCATGGCATTCAGAGACTGGTTAGTGGGCCCATGAGCTATGATATACTCCAGCCCATCCGAGTTCAGGCTCGAGGGCCGCCGGTACTTGAAGATCGTGCCAGCTACCCTGAAGTTCTGGGGGTTGTCAATGGCGGAGTTGCCGTTGAAGAAGAAATGCCCAGATTCATCTGCAAGTGCTTCAAAGAGAGAGAAAAGGGACAGATGTGATACTCCGTGCAGAACACTGGGGCTGCGCTGGCACTGAGGAGAGCAAAGACAAGCCCGGTAGAAAAAGAACCGTAGGCCCTCTGGCATTCATCTTCCGCCTCGGGTCAGATCAGCGGTGTTCAACGCCTGCTGCTTTCATTTCCCTCTCCAACAAGAGCACCAATGTCTTCACAACAGGGACTGCCCACAGCGAGCTTCCTTTCCAAATGTCCCTCCTGCTGCTGGAGATGTGGTGGCCTTGGTTTTATGGAGAGATGAAGCGCCCTGTGCTACCCTGGAGGAAATGCTCACTGAGAGCTCGCTCGCAGCGCAGTCAGGAGTGCACAGAGCCCTCCTCCCACCTCCCCAGCAGCTGAACTGGGATCTCCAGGTCCGTCCAGTTCCTCTGCTTACCTAGGATGTTTTCTGTTTTCCTGCGCTCAATGATGAGGATGTCCGTGGCACCGGCAGGGATGTTGGTGATGAAGACGTAACCTGAGGAACAGAACACAGGGTGAGGAAACCCCGAGGACAGAATAAAGAAGGTCTACGTAGGAAAAGCAGCTGGTGGGACAAGCGTGTGTGTAGGAGGGCAGCGCTGCCCTTCAGGGGCAGGGCACTAAGGACAGAGACGTGTGTTGTGCCAGTCTGTGAGCTCTAAGCCCAGATCCCCTCTGAAGTCCCACTTCAGATCACTGTTACGGGTCTCTAAGGCTCCATCTGAGCACTGCTGGGTTTGGAGCCAGGAAGGAACGGCACAAGTATAACACCGTGGCTTTAAGGTGTGTGGATGAATGTGTTCTTACGCTCTTTCTGGCAAGAGCACAGAAAAAGCTTACTAGTGATCGGGGCTGATGCTGAACAGAGGATGGAAAAGATCAATAGGTCCCCTCAGCTCCTGACTCAACACAGTTTGTCTCAGGAGTAGCATAAAAATTGACCTTTAAAGGGAGAGGAAATAAGAAGGCTCTTAAAGTTGCACGGTTTGGCAGCCTGTCTTTCCTGCTAGAAATGCAGCTCTTGTCCGTTCTGTATGATTTTATGAGGACTGGAATGGGAGGCCAAAACCCCTGCTCTGGAAAGGGGCCTGAGTGCTTTTCTAGTCTGGTGTCTGTAGAGAGCGAGGCAGACTAGTCAAACAACAACAGTGTGAAATGATGTTCCAAAACATCCTCAAACCACAGCTAATGAATTACTAATGAGCAATCCACAGTCTATTCCTTCTGTGGGTGGAGGAATGCGCCGTGAGGTTGCAAGGGCTGAATCTCAGCCCAGTTTCAGAAGGGACTGTCCCTCAGCTGTGCCAGCCATAGGACTGGGGAAAGCAGGAGACCGAGTGCAGGCTGAAAGAAATGCTGTGACCCTCATCATAGGAGCTTAAGTTTCAAATGAACACGTAGCACAAATAAAAGAAGATTCATTGATCTCTTCACATCATCAGAGGTGGGCAAGACACCAAAATCAATAGGAACAAATAGATCCCCAGCTGCTTCCTATTGTAAAGAGGTGAAGTGAAACCTTACCAGCCTAACATACAGCACATCAAACCAAATTCCTCTGATGATTAAGTGAAAAGGACAAAACACAGGCGTTTAAGCAACGGTGGCACTCTTCAGCTCTTTCCACCAAGCAACTGGGAAACTCCTACCCGCATTCAAGCCAGTCACCCTTCATGCCAGCTGGTGCTAAGAAGTAGCAGGTGAAGTCTCTGGACTGTGGTAGCAGGGAGTACCTATCTGTGAGATTGCCTTTCGGAAGCTGCCCGAGACACGGTGGCAAGTGCTGCCGTCCCCTCCACACACCCTGCATCTGTCCATCGTCCGGGGTGAGTACAGGCTTCCGTCGCACCCAACTGGCTGCAAAGAATAAAACAAGAGAGGGGTTCCTGGGGCCAGCTTATCTCCACAGGTCAGGGTCTCTTCAAGGAAATGCTACCATGCTCTTTTGGTGAGGTTCTGGAGCGGGCAGGGGGATGCAGGTTAGCTTGGAGTGGAGTCATGAACGAATCCAAGAGCAGCAGCAATTCACCTGTGTAACTTGTGACCACCTCCACTGTGCCCCTGACCCTGGGGCAGGGGCTCATGCGTGTAGGTGAATGGAGTAAGACTCGAGTAAGCTGTTTTGGTTCCTTCTAGCTCTGTATTTAGGCCAATCCTTGTCACTGAAATAATGACACACAACATCTCTCTCCACAAGATGCTGCATCAAAGGCAGGCCTTTCTGAGGTTGTAAGGCAACTCTCTGTAACACTATATACACCTTCATCCTTGCTGTATGAGTTGAAAATCAAACGCAAGATTTTTTTTTTTTTTTAATTAGATGACTCCGTAAACAAACGTGCAATTCTAGCCTTCTCTGTGCTGGGAGTAAAGTGCTGTCACTCAGTGGGAACATGTGGATGTATATAATTCCCTTTGTGTGAATCTCTCTCCTCTCCTCTCCTCTAGCCCACAGGTGCTCAAGAGTGAATGTAATTAATCCATTGCTGCCAGGCCTTGGGTTCAATTCTCTGCTGGGACCCCTGGGCTTGCGATGACCAGGAGGCCCAGGATTGCACTTACACTCCCAATTTCCGTACTACTTCCTCCCAGAGCCTCACCTCACACTTCCCATTGATGCAGACCCCTTGATAGGTCCTGTCCTTGCAGGAGGTACCATCCTGTGCTCGGGCCATCAGCTGCCTCTCTCCACTCCGGGTGGTGCACTGGAGGTCACATGGCTTGTTGGAGATACTGGTGTAGTCATCTGAAGGGACAGAGGCAGAAAGTCACCAGGCAGATCAAGGTGCTCAGAGATGGCCAGCGAGGAAGGGGACTTTCCTCTTATCCATACTGATGGTTTGATGTCACCTTGGGTGTTCCCGCTGCTTGAGATGAGACCCCAAGGTACAGATTCTGTAGCAGTAAAGGGGTCATGGCATGAGGCTGCAGCTGGGGACCATGCCTAGCAGAAATACTTCTTGCTGGCAAACCCTCTTCCTTGCCATACCCTCTCCCCTTTGCAGTACCGTCCCCTGTGCCAGACATGGGAACCTGCATCAGCAAATCCCAGGCCACACATAAATACACAAGACCAAGCAAGACCTCTAAGAGTACTGACTGTGTGGGGCTGTGGCCAGCTACACCCCATTCAGCTAAGTAACTGAAGCCAGAGGTGCAGATGATCTATGTCCCTTTGGCAGCTCATGTAAAGAGAAAAACAGGTGGGTCCAGAAAGAGGGTAGTATCTTAGATGAGCTCAATCTGGCCCTCGAGGGACAACTGGCAACCCGTGTGAAGCAATCTGTCTTGTCTGTGCAGGAAATGGATGGGCGCCCTGTTCAGAACAACCCACCACCAACCCAGTGGGAAGCATGCCGGGTGACAGAGGCAGCCAAAATGGTAGAAGGCACAAAGAGCGTGAACACCCACTCTGCCAAGAAGACTGCTGGTTAGCCAAGACAACTCAGAGAAGCCTGCATCCTGTCTGCCCACCAGTGCTTGCTGATGTAGGATCCAAAACAGGAGCAATGTGGTGAGAGAGGAGGCCTGGCTGGGTGGAGCGGTTCTGTGAAGAGACAGGGAATGATTTCTCCAAAGCAGGGAGCATAGGGAAGCACTTCTAGACCAGCCAGGAGCATCCATCCCCTGTCCCCTGGGACCTTCCCCTTCTCCTGTGTCTGACAAGATCCTGTGGGTGTTTTCTCACCCTGATCCTTTGTGTGAAGCTGTGAAAACCCACCTGGATAGAGAGGCATCCAGTGGTAGTAGCGCTTCCCAAAGGCTTTGGCATTGAAACTGGAGCACTGCTGCTGTTTGAAGCTTGCTGTGTTGGCTGGGCAGGGCTACGGAGGGAATAAATGTGATCAAAAGCTCCCTATGTCACAGCCGTGGTTGTGACAGCTGCTTGTCCCTGCTGCATCCCTGGAGGATGACAATGCCCTGTCCACCCTGGAAGGAATCAGTGATGGACTCTGAGGTGCCGTAATAAGGCAGAAAGGCCAGGCCTCCATTGCCAAGGGCCCCTCAGACAGCTGTATTTAATAGTCCTGCAAAAATTATTTCCAGCAAAGGGAAAAGCATGCTGTAAAATCTTTGTCCCTCCCCCCTACCCCACGACAAATATGTTTTTATATCCTCTTCCCCCTCCTCTCAGTCCCAGAGAGTAGAGCCCATCTCCCACGTCTTCAGAGGCACAGCACCAACCACTCCAGGAGTGGATGGTACCCCTTGTCTGCACCCCTCCGACGGACCAGTCGCACCCTGAGTGCTGGTGCTCTTGCAGCATCAAGTGTGACCCCCTGAGTTCGCACGTCCCCCAGTGAGGACCAGGCAGTACTGGAAGTGGGTCTCACCTGCTGCTGGCACAGTTGGTAGTGCTTGGCTTGACCAGCACACATGGTGCTGTTTGTTCCCTGGGCCATCTGGAGTCTGCAAAGAAGAAAGAAAATGAGCTAGAGGTCTGTGAAGTACTAAGGTATTAAGGATGACAGGCCTGACTTAAGGGGGAAAAGCAAGGCAGGCATTTTACCAGAGGAAAGCTTTCTGGATCTAGACTAGCTGACATCTCTGAAAGACATTTTCAGTGCTTTTGGGTGGACTTTGATTTTAGACTACTCTTATTTCAGGGCAGGTTGAGCAGACAGGGAGCAACTGCAGTATCACCACCCCTGTGTCCCTTCACGTCTGGGCTCCAAAAGGGTTGGTGTGACAAAAGGACAATAGACCCTGATGATCCATCATTCCCATGGAAGCACCCAGGGTTTGCAGTCACCAGGGGAGTTGATTTCAGGATTCACTGTGCAGTAGGCAGAGAGATGGCACCTCTCATGGGGACTGGCTACTTTAAAAGATTAGCAGGAAAGGCTTGGTGCAGATGATGGACCAAACCCATGGGGATTTCTCAACACTTGATGCTTTAGCTCTGGCCAGCAGGAGTTTTCCAGGGGATACTGAAGTCTTTGACTGATGCAAAGGCGAAAAAATTCTTGAAAGTTGAGCAGTTGTACAGAGAACGGATGAGACTACAGATTAAGGCAATATGGCCTGTGTAAAGATCAGCAGCAAACAATGCATTAACAGCACTGGGAACTTAGGATGCACTGTGTAATGAAGAACGCCACAGGCATATTCAAGCTGGACTGGCTAGAGGTACTGCAGCTGTTCCTCCAGAGCACTGATTTAACTGATGTAGGCAAAGCCTAAATTTGCCCCAAAAGGCTTGAAAACTGCCATCCCTTTCAGCTGAAGCAGAGGCTGCCTGCAGACTCAGGCAGAAACTGTTTTGTGGGCATACCTGGCTCACACTTAAGCCATTCTCCTAAAAGCTGCAGAAACCTTCTTGTTGGGTTTTTTGTGTTGTTGGCTGGCTTGTGGGTTTTTTTGTAAATTCAGACTTGATCCCCGGAGTAAAATGCCACAGCAAAGGCTTCGCCTCCCCAGGTGTGGAGTCAAGGATAAAGCAGATGCCAAATGGAGAGAAAAATCTCTCTTCTGGCAGCAGGCAAAGTGCAGGAGGGCTGCTCTGGCTGTGCGGGGTGTGGGACAGCCCCAGGCTCCCTCCCGCCCTCCGTTTCACACTGCTCTGCCATGGTGGCCACAGTGTGCTGGGGAGGAGGAGCAGTGGCAGAGACACTGGCAATCCCAGTTATCAGGGAGGCCACGTCCAGATTGAAGGTACTGCAGCACATCTGGACCCTCACCGTGCTGCCAACCAGCCCACACAACAGAAGATTTCCACTGCAGGAAGGAGAGCAAGTTGGGGGCCCTTGCTTGAGCTTCTTCCGCTCAGAGGTGCATTCACATAGAAGGAAAAGGGGCCGAGTGTGGGGTGGGCAGACCCCGTGGGCTTGCTGTGCTGCAGGATGCCAGCTCTCATTAACATCTCAGGAGCCTGGAGTAGCATATTAGTGAGGTGCTGGAAGAGGAGGAGTGCTTGGTGGCAAGGTGACCGGGAGGGGACAGCAGGAATTCAGGCAGCTGAAGTTCCCCAGCTCTCCCCACTCCCACAAACCCAGTCCAACTGATACCAGGACTGTAGCAGCTGTAGGGGACAAATGTGGCCGTAGGGGACAAATGGAGATGCTGTCAGGTGACAGCCAGATAAATGACAGAGGGGAAAAAAAACTTGCAAGCTCTGCAGGGAATAAAGAAGGGAAATTGCTGAGACGTGGCTGAGCTGGCTGCTGCCAGGAGTAAATCAAGTCCCTGTAAGGTGTCCGGGAATATGTACCCACATCCTTAGCGCAGGAACTAGCTACAGATCAGGGTTAGGTTGGTCAGAGCAGCCACAGTGAGTGAGGGTTTGGGAAGGAAAGGGGAAGAGGAATAGAGCTAGCCTTCTCCAGCCCACAACCCTGTCATCTTCATGTCTCCCACAGACCCCAAGAGGGGATCAACCCCTTGCTCCTCATCAGATGAGCCAGGCTGAGTGGGTGATGTGTTCAAGGGGCACCCAAAACGCACGTCGGGGGCACTGTATTTCCCCTCTGACACTTGAGACCTGGCCAAGGGTTCAGGCTGGGGCACAACTCACCTCTGTTGCAAGCAGTGCCTCTCCCGGGACATCACGCCTCCCCCACAGGACCGGGAGCAAGTGGACCAGGAGCTCCACTCTCCCCACCACTTGGTGACTTCTTCATCCCAGGGGCCAGCTCCATCTGCTGCCTCACTACTGTCCTGACAGAAACAGAAGACGGTTAGCTGGAGAACCTGGCTCCTCACCACCCCAGGCAGAGAAGGGCCTTCCAAAGGCAGCTCCCACAGGGACCACGTCACCTGGCTGCCTTCTAAATGGGCAGCACTGGGGCAACCGTGGCAGGATCAAGCCCGTCTGGGGCCACGCCAGGCTCACCCCTCTCAAAATCCAAACTTCCCTCCAAAACTGAGCTACGTATGGGAAGGAGGGTGCCTCTGGGATCTCACGGCACAAAGTGGAGAAGGGCTGTCAGGCCGGACACGCGTGACAGCAACGCCAGCATCGCTCCCAGCCCCGGGGCAGACAGACCAGCAGATCACAGCTCACGCTGCCCGCCCGGGTCAGGAGAGAAGAGGACGAGCCGCGGCGCTGGGCCGTGCGGAGGCTCGCCTGCAGGGAAGCTGGGGGTTCCCATCGGTCACTTGCTGGAGCTGCGTTCCAACAAATTAACTTCTCTCTGTGACTAAATCAGCTCAGACCCAAGCTCCTCGCCCTCCAACCCTCACAAAAGTTATTTTCAAGAGCGCTTCAGAACCAGAGCTTCCTGCAATTGCAGTTGTCCCCTGTCCCTCGGCTCCCCACTGTGCTCAGGGAAGGGTTGCTCCCTCTCCCAGTGTGCCTCGCTGGGGCTGAGACTTTCAATTTGGCAAACCTGAGCTCTTTTGGCCCCAATGTGGTCATCGCAGCAGGCTGCTGTTGGCTGTGCCTCCACAATTCTCTAGCAGATAAGGGATTCTGTGTTTTAGCTGTTGGGTTTTCTTTGTTTGTTTGTTTGTTTGTTTTTCCCTTGCAATATTTTCCTGTTTTGTGTCTGGTGGTCTAAAATCTCCCAGGGACTTTGGTAAACTAGCCTATGCAGGAGTTAATTTACTGTTTACTGAAATACAGCTGTGAGTAGTGTTAAATGCAGCAATGAGTTTAACACAGGACAGTGACTGGAAGGGATTTATCCAGCTGAAAATGCTGACAGTGTTTCAGTATTAGTAGAAGAAAATGAGTAATTCGTGTGTGAGTGTGAAGTCTTCTACGTTAAAGTAAGGGCTCAGGGAAGTTGTATTGGTGCTACTATTAGCAAAACATGCTGGTTTGAGGCAGCAGCTGATAGTTCTGTTGCAAAGAACTGGTCTGCAAAGTGTAATTGATGGATATGAAAGAAAACTCAGCAGGGTTTGCTCGTCGCTAAATGTGCTCTGTTCACTATTTTGGTTGACTGTCTCTTGGCTTTATGCTCTTTCATGGTGTAATAAAGCCAAAACGTTCTGCATCTTGTAGAGTAATCCTGCCTGAGAACTTGTTATTTCTACAGTGTCTGCCAACAGAACATCCTCTGGGCAGAGGAGATGCAGCTGGTTTTATGCAAATGTTTTTAAGTTGTAACTCACTGTGGTTGAAATGTGCGTAGCGCCTCTTCCTGGTGATGATACCACAGCCAGAGCATGTTGAAAACAACATATTCTGCTGCAGAAAAAGCACCATGTTACCTGATGCTTTACTTGCTAGTGATTACAATCACTGAATTTTAAAACAATACAACAAAACTCTTTGCTGAACTTAAAACTCCTGGCTGGAGTTGACCAAACTCCGACTCCTGTTGTTGGCCTGACAAGGACCAAATGCCATGGCCAGCAGCTGAGTTGCTCAAGAGAAAAATTAAATTTAAAAGGAACAGACACGTTTTCAAAAATACCTTTTTCTCTTCTTCCAAATGATCATCTCAACCTATTCCCTATGAGAATTTTTGCCTGAGTATATATTACAGGACTGTAAATTGAAATGCTGAGTATGTAGCTCCCACATTTACAAAGAAAAGAAACCAAAGGTCTCTTATTGTAAGGTATTTTCAGCTGAAATCTTTCCCTGACCCCTTATGTCCTTCTCTACGATAAGCATGTCAGGGCCTGCGGAGGAAGAGCTCTTCACAGCTGTCAGGAAGGGGAATGCCAATGATTTTATCTGGTGTCTGTGCAGTGAGCTCGGCACAACAGAGAGTCTCCCATAGCTGGGGTAATAATCAAAGGTGGTGTCTTGCCACTTCACTGAGTAGTTACATGAGGCGCACAGACTGCCTGGAGGGAAGGCATGTGGACCAAAAGCTGAAATATTTACCCAGCTTTTCCCCAGGTGGCAATAAAGATCTCCGCAGCTGTAACCTGCAAGATAGTCCTGCTCTAAAAATCTTAAAATCCAAACAGGTGAGACAGGGCAGAAGGGAAACGGGCGAAGGGAAGCGAAATAGTCTGTTCTATTGACCTACCCCTGGATATAATAAAGACTCTGTGTATTTGGAGTGGTGGGAAGTTGCAGGCTCCTTTTCAGGGTTACTGTTCTTGGGTGTTTTCTCTGGATGCAAGGAGACTTGGCAGAACTTGGGTTTGGGGAAGATCAGCATCTCTGCCTTTGTGTGTCTCTGTGTTACAGTTAGGACTGGGTAAGTTTCTTGCTGCACTGCGACTTTCATGAATGACAGGAGCCCAAATGAAGATTTATTGAAGGATGCTAGTCAAAGAGACTTTTTTTTTTTTTTAATAAAATGTGTTCCCCTATACCCATAAGCCCTATTCCTGCTTCCTCTCTGCATTGGAGGAATCAATCACTTTTTAAGTAGATTGATTTGGCTCTCAGGTTTACCATGACCGAGCTCCCTTGCCAGTCCTTGCCTACGAGCGTTTATTTTCTTGTGTAAGCAAGGACAATGCTGAGCTGTCCCCTCGGCCAGTGAGACTTACAGCGTGACTGCACCTGAGTCCTAGGCCTGGTGATGTGGAGGGGAAACTTCAGATACTTAGAGCTGGGGCAGCTGGTTCCAATATGCACTGAATTTATTGTATTGTCAGAAATAAATCTGCATTAACCATGACACACAAATGGTTCTTGTTTTTAATTAGAGATACTCACATTTTCCAAATTTCCAGATAATAAATTAAGGACTGTGGGACAGACTCCAGATTAGATTAGCTCCTAGCTTTAGTTTTCCAAGCCCCTCAGCAAATCCCAAGAGTTTACCTTCTGGCCAAGTGAATCCCACCACACGCCCTGCCCCATGCCTCCTCCTTGCAGAAGGAGAAATCAAAGGGGCTTTACAACTCTTTTGCACTCTCCTGGTTACAGAAGATGACGGAGCTTCTCTTATTTGTACTCTGCTGCAGAATCATGGAAATGGAGCTGGCTAGAAACACTGGAGCTGGAGATGCGCATAGATCCAGGCTTTACAAGGCTGGCTCTGCCTGGGCTTGGGTGAGGGCTCTGCTTAAAGAAGGTAAGAGGACGAGGTACGATTCCTTACATGATGAGGAATATAAGGCCTAGAATTCCCATCCATAGAAAAGACAGCCCATATTCCAGTTCAGCCAGGTGCTTTCCACAAGAATTTCCCCCGAGGCATTTGTGGCTTGGCACAGGGTGATTATACAGCTGCAGTTCCTCTCTGAGGCTAACCAAGTTATTTCTGTGCCTCTGCACCTATGCTGGAGGCCATGCAACTAACTGAGTAGGCGAGGGCTGCCCTCCTGTCCCCTTGTTGGGGGGACCAGAGCTTTGAACCCCAACCTGCAGGGAACTTTTCCAGGATGAACTATCTGCCTCTGGATTTGCCAATATCAATGACAGAAACATCAGTCTCTAAGCCAGCACCGCTGAAAGCTTTTCCTGTCTAACCAAAGACCCAGCAGCTGCTTCCCCTCTCCCCCCTGCCAAACAAAGGCTGCCATAAACAAAGTGCTTCAGCCCTGCAAAGAAGGGTGGGCCTGGCCTGACATCCTATCGGATTTCCAGGCGGTCTTTCTGAATAGCTGAAAGGGATAAAATAAATTCTCTGCTGACTCTCTGTCACGTTCTACGATCAGCTCTGAGCTACGCTGGGTTTCCCAGAAACCTGGGAATAACCTCAATCACTGTGTCGGTGGCCCAGTCTCCTGTGTTGCTTATTGTTGTGCCTAATCTTGAGATTCATTAGAGCCTGGGTCTTGGAAAAAAGCTGTCTGGGACAAGAGACCACAAACATGCCTGTCTAGTTCCCTTAACGGAGGAGCGGAAGGCTCTCCGTTGCAGCCTGGCATGCCTTAAGGGCTGGCCCACCACTGAAGGGCACGGTAGCTGTCGTAAACTGTTCTGCTCAACCCTGCTTGAACTTACGAGACTACTAGAAACAGAAGCTGAAAATTAAATAAATTCTTCACAGACCTTTTCTGAGGCCATTAACTGCATGTTCTCTACCAAAAATTTCCACAATCCCTTTATTTAAGGGCTTCTCTTTACAGCAAACCACATACTTACTGAAATACTAAGTAGCTTCAGATGCCTTAATGTCTGGAATGGATGTCAGATTATTATCTGGAAATGAATGCCCATGTTCACCTCCCCCGGTTTGGGCTCCCCATGACATTCTCTGACTAAAGCTGTGGTGATAGACTCTACCACAGCCCTGAAAGAAACAATAGCATTTGCAATTCTGCCCTGATGTTTTACAAAAGAACTGGTGTTTGTGTAAAGCTATTTCTCATCCTGCCATTGTTTTATCCTATTTGAGTAGACTAGATGGTTTGCATGAGAGATTTAATGCTGGAAGCAGACCCAAAACCAGATTTTCCTTAGAAAAGTTGAAACAAGATATCTGAGGAAGTTTTCCATGAGGAGAAGGTATCCTGAGGTAAAATGAGCAATGCAGAATAATTTTTACAGGATCAGGAAGAGCACTAATCTGGGGAAAAATGGTAGCTTGCTAAAGATGTGATATTTGCAGCAAATAAGGAACAAAAATCAGGACATGTAACGAGGTGCAGTTGAGAAGCACATTAGAAAACTGATGAACAGAAACCAGTGTAGAACTATCAAGTACCATTCACAATCCTGGTGTGACAGAAAGTTCACAAGCAAGTGCTGCATGTCATTACAAAATACTTGATGCAAGCCAGTTAGGTGATAACCTAACTTCAAGCGGGGCAAGCCGGTAGAAAGGATGGAAATCTGCAGAAGGGAAGAAGGGAGTAACAGGCAGCGAGAGTCAGGTTTTTCAGGGGCATTGGATGCTGTTAACCCCACGTAGGAAGGAATTTGCTTACCCCATCTATGGATTGAGGCTTTCTGTGACACTCTTTGCATAATCATGTTGTATATAGAAAACAGATAGCAAGAGGAACTGCAGGTTAATCCCCTAATGACCGTTTTGTGAGCTGTCTTGCACCAGGGATACGGATCAATACCCAGCAACCATGTCTGCCAGGCCAACTCGCACCACGCAATCCTCAATCAGACCGCTCTGCGGGGATCTCCTGGAGCAACGGAGTCCTCGGGGCAGACCTGGCAACAGTACTGGTGTGCGTTTGTCCCGGGGAGGGCTCAGCAGCCCTCCGCCCAGCCCCGGGTGCCCTGTCTTAGGTGCTGTACAAACACAGCTGCTGGGGGCAGGGAGCACCACGAGCAGCCAAGGCTTGTGTACACACGTTGATGGAGGAGTCCATCCAGGTCAGTCCCCAATGAAGGACTTCACATCTGTTTAGCTTGACCCGGCTTGCTCTGCCTGAAACTTCTCTCTGACTTAGCCCTACAGTTACAGGGTAAACAGAACAGGCAGCAAACGTGCGTGAAGGTAAAAACAAAGTGGAAATGAGACACGAGTTTTAAAATTAAGACAACCCCAGAACAAGAGACACCGCCGCTCCTCAAGCCTGGGTTAGCCGCAGTAAAGCTGCGGTGCCTGGTCTTTTCTCTGTCTTTAAGATAGCTCATGCAAGATTGCTTCACCTCAGCCACGGGGTCGGTCTGGTGTGGGGGTGGGAAACACAGCCCAAAGCCCTCTTCCTTTAGCAGAGCAGAATCCTTTCAGCAGCAAAGAAATCCAGCCGGGTTCCCCTCGGGGAGCGCCGAGCCACAATGCACGCAGTGACCCGTGAAGGCAAGGGCACAGCCGGCGCCCTGCGGAGCTGGGATTCCTGCCTCCCCGGCCACAGTCCCGGGGGCGACTGTCCCAGGCTGGGCCTCGGGAAGGGGACAGGGACAGGCAGAAGGGTTTTGGTGCAGCTGTGAGACAAGTGCCACGAGGAGGGCCAGGCTGAGGAGGTCCTTTGTGGAGGGGAGCAGAGATGAGGGGAGCGTGGGGCTGCGGCGCCCAGACGCGCGCCCCACAGTTAGCGGGGAACGCAGCTGCCTAAACCCCCTGCCTGGGGTGGCGGGAAGGAGAGAGGAGAATTTGTCTGTTTTCAGCTCTTAACTGGAGGCAACCCTCTGTCAGGGATGAAGGTGGGGAGCAGCGAACCCCCAAGCAGGGAAAGGCCCTGCTCCCCCACGGTCCTTCTGGTGATGCTGGGAAGCCGCTTCAGGCTTCCTCACACACACACACACCCCCGCCACACACACACCCCCCGTTGGCCTTTTGTTAGTGCCAGGCCTCTGGGGAGCGGGCAAAGCGTCGGGTCCTCGGGGTAAAATATGAGGGAGACGCGACACAACACATCCCCCCCCCCCCCCCCCCCGCCGCCCCCTTCTCAAGCATCCCAAGAGTGAGGGACGACCGCAGGGTGCGGGGTGGGGGGGGACGGACACCCCCCAAAGTCCAGGCCATCCCCTGCAGGAACCTGCGGGGAAGGGCGACGGACTCTCAAGCTCCCCAGCGCGGGAAGGGCCGGGCCGCCCTCTCCCTGCCCCGGCCCCGCCAGCTCGGAGCGCCCCTCCCGGGGCCCCGCCGCGGCTCCCTGAGGGGAGGGAAGGGAGGAAGGAAGGAAGGAAGGAAGGAGGGCGAAAGGGAGGGGAGGCTCCGCCGCCGCGGGCCCACCCGCCGCCGCTTACCTTAGCGCTGAGGGGGGCGGCGGCGGCGCTGAGGAGGAGGAGGAGGAGGCGGGGAGCGGCGGCCATGCCGCGCTGCTCTCGCTGCCGCTGCTGCAGCCGCCGCCGCCGCGGAGGAGGAGGCGGCGAGGCGGCCCACCAGCGGCGGTCGCAGGAGCAGCCGCCGCCGGAGCGCGGGCCGGCATGGCTGAGGGAGTTAATGACTTTACAACCTGCCGGGTGGCGGGCGGCGACCCGCGGCGCGGCCGCTCGGGGCGGGGGATGGGATTTGGGGGGGGGGGGCCGGGCGCTCCTCAGGCCCCGCCGCCCCGGGGGCTCGCCCCCCCCCCCCCCCCCCCCGCGTCCCGCCTGCGAGCTGTGGGGAGGGCGCGGAGGGGTGGAAAAACACACACACACACACACACACACACACGCACACCCCCTCGTACCGCCCTGCCCGTCGCACCGCCCGGCTCCCCGCGAACGGGTCGGCGCTTCCCGCAGCTGCCACCGCCGCCGCCCCGGGCAGCGCTGCCTGCGGAGCCACCCGCGGTCTGGGGCTGCCGGGCTTGCCCCGCGCAAACCCTTCGCTGCCAGGAGGAGCCCGCCGTTGGCTTCCTCCTGCAGCAAAACCCCCTTTGCTCCCCGAGTCACCTTGCCTGCCTTTTCTGGGGCAAGCTGCTTTGCTTTGGGCTTGGCTTTTGGCGGTTCCGGAGGGCAGCGCGCCATCCTGGGAAGGAAACATCACTCAGGACGTGGAGGGCTGCTCTTACGGGCGTCGTAGGGGAATCACACCCGCACGGCGAGTGAGCCCGATGGACCTGGCCCTTGCTGAGAGAGGGTGTCGGTGCCCGCAGGCTTCAGTTCTCAGCCAAGTACCAAAGCCCAGCTTAAGTCTTGCATGAAAGTTGTTCACCACCACCCCTACCCCGGGGCGTCCCGCCTTGAACTGCAAAAAGCACGCTGCAAAATCAGACCTTTTGGACCTACTCGCAGCCGTCTGCTCTCTGCTTGAGGCCTTCTCAGATGATGCAACGGCACCTCAGAAGCCCCCATAAGCTCTCGGAGACTGTCCAGGCTAAAGTAAATCTGTCAATCCCCGTCTCTAGGTGCTGCTTTCGGGCTGGCACACTGAGACGGTCAACTGTGCAACTTAAGAGGAATTCATTTGCTTGCTGGTGCCGTCCCCCCTTCCTTTCTGGATCCCGCTTTGCTCTGCTTGTGATCGGAAGGCGGATCTCGGCGAGATGCTGCACGTCTCTGGGCCAGCACACCTCGGCCCTCCCGGGAGCCAGGCTGCTGGGAGGCACGGGCAGAGGCTCCGCGAAAACGGCATCAGGTGCCCCCAGCCTGGGGCGGGCGTCTGGGGAGCAGCGGTTTCTGCCTGCCAGATGTGCCGTCACGAGTGTGGGAAGGTGATCTTCCGAGCCCTCCGCACATCTCCCCCACCGAGGGTTTCAGCCTCGAGGTGGAGGGAGGGGGAGAGGAAAGTTGGAGGGGTGTCAGCAGGGAGGAGCGATGGGGGACTCCTGATGAGAGCTGTTTGCTAGCAGGCGGAGGGCAAGGAGGGACGGACGGCAATCTGCTGCTGACCCATCCAGAGAAAATGAGGGTGAGGAGCACTGACAAAGAACACGGTTGCGCCATGATCTGCCTTCTACAGAGGCGGGGGGGGACGAGCTTCATAGTCTATTCTTGGCTTTCCTATCCTGCTGCAGCCCTGTGTAATGCTCCTTCAGGAGCCAGCTCCTGCCCCGCAGATAAGCAAAGCTGCAGAGAGGCTCAGAGGTAGGGGGAGGCTGTGCCTACAAAGAAAAGTGGAGGCTGGCTCCAGCTGAGCGAGGGAGTCAGTAGCAGTTCGGGTCTCAGAGGTCTGATCTTCTTCAGACCCACTCAAAACTCATGTCTGAGCAGGAGCCTTGGGAGGCAGAAGCAAGCTGTCGAGTGCCGCCCAGTGCAGGGGTGATTTGGGGAGGGGGATCTGTGTGTGAGGCACTAAGGCAGCGTGACAGGGAAAATCCGGGTGGCCTGCGATGTTCTCCCCTCCAGGGCCCCTCTGTGCCACCACTGCCCTGCCCTTTCTTGCTAGTCCTGCTCTCATCCCGCAAGCACAGCTCCTGAGCCCCTTCTGCTCACAGGGGTGATGCGAGTGCAGCGTGGAAGGCAGCAAGACAATGCTAAAACGCTGCTTGCCATTTTACATCCTGAGTTTAGGAAGTGCAGTGGTTTTCTTGACATTCAGAGGAGATTTTGAATACTCTCAGTCATTGTGGGAGCAAGGGTATGGGAGATACAGGTTCCCTTGTAGTCTTGAGCCTGCCCCCCCACCCCAGGTAACCAGTGTATGGAAAGGTTTGATCATGCTGTTGAACTGATTAAGGCATTTAAAACTATCACCAGCCATCACAACCAGCTTCCAGTCTTGTAATCGTTTCTAATCCACCTCTCCCAATATGTTTGGGGTTTTTTCCCTACTGTCTGTATTTATATCATAAAATTGTCACTTTCTAACTGGGCCAACCCGTTCTGCTGTGGGCTCTATTACATGCGTGAGCTCTGTAAGTGCAGCAGCCCTTTGTGGTTTTACATTCGGCCCTACCATTATGAGAGACTTTTCCCCAGTTGCTTCCCAGTTTCATGTGCCCTGTTAAGAGAAAGTAGGTCTGTAACACCACCAGGGAATGTTTAAAGGGGTCAGGAGGTTGAGGATCTCTCCTTTATTAGCACCCAGGAGCAGAGCCACATGGTTTTACCCTGACAGTCTCCCCATAACCAGAACTGAGCTGGGGCCAGCCAGTGTGTAGGTGCTAGCCACGTTCAGACATTTGGGCTGCTCGCAGGGGGCTGACTTGCACTCATCCCCTGCCCTCTGGAAACTGCCTGGGATTTCAACCCCTTGTTTCATTGAATTGGGTTTCATCAGCCAACTGTTTCTCCAAAAAGCTTCCAGACACACTCAGGAGGGGAATCAAAGAACATGTGTTCTGGTGAGGGGTACCAGTGTTTGTGGCTGCTGTTGTAGAAGGTCCTACGGGACTGGAGTAGACCATCCTCTAACAGGACCTGAAGGGATTTATTCTGCTCACGACTCACTTGCAGATGTCACAGACAGCAGCTGTCTTCCCATGGGCAAAGTCCTGGGATCATAATTATAGAGGCTGAGAGTTTAGAAAAATGGATGTGGGAGACTGGCCGGGAGTGTAAAGGTCTTTGGACGCCTCTTTAGTTCCCTGTGTGTGTGTTTTCCTCCTGTTGACCAAGCTGCTGGAGGGAGCCTGTGTTTGATAGTCTTGCAGGACGTTGCACTGGGTTTTCAGTTCGTCCCTCTGGCCGAACAGTCCCAGCAACTCGTCTGGCTTCACCTGGTGGTTGCCCCAGCACAGATGTCCCCCTCCTGATCCTGGGGAGCAGAAACAACAACTGGACTTTGCTCTCCCTCTGAGGAGGAACCTGTGTGGTCCAAGGCCCCCCTCTGCAGATACAAGGTCTGACAGGGAAATGGCAGGTCCTTCTCTCTAGCGATCTGAGCAGCTTCAAGAGTTCGGCTCTATTGACATAAAGAAAACAGTGGCTTCATTCAGCTTGAGCTGTAATTGTGGGAAGAGGTCAGGTCTGCTCCTCTGTGGAGATCAGCATGACCAGAAACTGCATCCCAGAGATGTCTAAGTGGTCCCTGGGGTGCTGGGGCAGGGGATGGAGCAGACCTCAAAGGAGGCATGGTGTGAAGAGGCTGTTTCCATCCCTCCTGTCCAACCATGCCGCTGCCTCTGCTCTGGCTCCGAGAGGATCCTCAGCTCTCGAGTGCCCTCGCGAGGGATCTGCAGAGCCCTCTCCTCGGCCTGAGCATAACCGTGCCGTCCAGCCAAAGCGGGCAGAGGCCAGCGGGAGGTCTGCTCCAGGCTTTGCCCCCTCCCTGCGCTGGGAACACGCTTGCAGGCTGCATTCATCAAGCCTTTTCATTGCAGGCTCTTGGATTCACATCCCACAGGCTGAGGCCAAGCTCCTTTGTGCAACATATTGTAAGGCTGCTTCCCCTGGAGAGGCGAAGGGGGGAAATAAGAAAAAGAGCTTTAAGCTCCTGATATCTGCAAATCTCTCTTACAGTGGAGGTTTCATAGGCCTGAAAGTGACCCCCCAGGGGACCAGCCCTGCAGCGGCAGAGCCGGCAGGAGGGTTGAGCTGCAGACCGGCTCCCAGAGGTTAAAGCTCAACAGGACAGAGGTGGCTCAGCTGGGTTCACCACCTGTCTCTTTGTGTCCCGCCTTCTGCCAGTGTTAGCCCATGCTGGCGCAGAGGGGTAAAAAGAGAGGTGGCACGATGTGCCTGTCGCAGGGGCAGGGGTGCTGCAGGCAGGGTGGGGTGCCATGCTAAGCCTGCGCAGACCTGCCTGGGCCACTCGCCTTCAAACGCTGGGGATGACGAGTTTATGTCCGCTCGCAAGGCAGCGGCACGCTCGTGTGTATAATCGGTGCTGATTTTGTGGTGGAGGAGTTCAGAATGGCCTTCCAGAAGTGGTTTTGCCCCTCAGTTGAGCTGCTGTGTAATTTTCAAGGTAATTTTTAGAGCCACCGAGCACCTTGTGGCAGCAGAAGTACTGCTGCAGAGAGTGGGACTGGGGAAAAAAAAAAAAAAAAAAAAAAAGATAGATAGTTGGGGTGGGGATGCAGTGTTTAATAGGCCAAGTAGAGTAAGAAGAATTTTTTTTTTTTTTTTGTAGATGAGAAATTGAAAAATAATTTAGCATTAGTGTTGATGTAACAGCAAGCAACTGATAAGCTCCAGCCAAACCCATGGCCTTGCTGTGCTTGGGCAGTGTCTGTATATGCAGGTAGAGATGCTGATTATGAACTAGGTGCCCGGGGGACAGCTGAAGGGAAGAGCTGTCCTTAGCGCAGGGGGAAGTGGTGCCGTGCCCAGGAGGAATAAATTCATTTACCTCAGATGGTGCAGAGCTGGACCATGTCCTGCTCCATCCTAGTCTTGCTCTGACCTGTCACAGCTGCCGGAGAGCTGGTGGGAAGGGGGGGTCGGGCTGTGCCCCATGTCCTTTGTGGTGGTCTCCCTTGCGGGGGGCTCCGCAGGTGCTGCACCCATGCCCTGGGGAAGCAGGCGCCGGAGCGCAGCGTTTCTGAATTAACTTGTGTTCTGGGAAAAAAGAAGGGAACCCGAGTCCCTGGCTTGGAGATAGCTGGCTGGGGGTCCTGCTGTGCCCCCTGCAGTGACCCCAGGGCCAGCCCCGCCGGGGTGCGGGGGGAAGGGGGTGATGTGGAAATGCTGCAGCTCGGCACGGCGGGTGGGAAGGTCGGCCTCGCACCTCTGCGTCGGCATCTCTCCTCTCGGGAGAGCACTGCTCGGCCATTTCAGGGACTCGCAGGAGGCTCTTGCTTGGTACATATTAAAGATCTTTTCTCTGAATGGGCTGCAGACTTAGCCCCCCAAGTTTACAGAGAAGTGCAATCACTGCTGAGCAGCCTCTGGACCTGCCTGCCCGGGTTTCCCTGCCTCTCTTCAGCAGCAGGCACTGCCCCCACTCTCGGTTCAACCTGGGTTTTGGAGCAGGTACAAGGATGACGATGCCGTTTACCAACACAGATCATGGCGAGCACAGTATCTAGGGCAAAACCATCGGTGCACCCTTCTGCCTGGAGACGCTCTTGGAGCTCGTTCACCTGCTCCCTTTCAATTCGCTTTTGGATTCATGTGCAAGACTAAAAAAAGCAGCCCGATTTTGGCATCCAGCAATCACTGCACCAGTTGACGCTGAATTTTAATCTGAATCTTTGGGCCAGGACCAAATCTCATCCTCTCGCATCGGACAACAAGAGATGAGTGATGTTTACTTCTGGCAATCAATCACATGAACATCTGTGTGAAAATAGATGCCAATGTTACAAGTATTTAGGTTGCCAGAGCCTAGACAGGGACTGAAGAAAATCCAGAATAACAGGGTAAATATATATATTTTTTTTTCCAGCCCCCTCTCTGTTTAGGCCAGAGCTGGGCAAAATAACTCACCACAAACATAAAAATTTGTGTATACTGAGGTGATATGACATTGGGTGGAACTGATCTGATCAAAGGTGTTGAAATGACAAATATTTGCTTTCTGTATTTCTAAAATATTTCAGTTGTCGGTGGATTTCAGTTTAATTCTTATCACTAAGTATTATGCAAACCTCAATATGTTTCAGTCTGGGTTGAATTCAGCAGCTGTCTGGGGGTTTGTTTTTAGTTTTCCCTTAGTTGAAAAAGCTGCGAATGTTTGCCCCTGACAACTCAGGAAAAAAAGCTGTGAATGTTTACTCCCAACAACTGAGGAAAATGTTTGGAGTTTTTTCATAAAAAAACAGATATTCACTTTGTTTGCACAACTACAGCCCTGACCAAAATAAAACTTTGTCTGATATGATGATATGCTTAATGAACTGAGAATAGCTAGGAAAAAAAAAAACAAAAACAAAAACAAAACAAAACAAAACAAAAAAAAAAAAAAAAAAAACAAAAAAACAACCCAAAAAAACCAGAACACAGTAAGACTACAGTCCCACTTTGAAGACTTTGCTGGTTTCTTTCACAATCACATTATTTATTTTTAAATAGAAGTCTTGTTTCAGAAGCAAGCAGAGATTTTGTTTTTAAAAGGTCATAAAAATATCTCTGTATTAGAACAGCTGGGGTGGATGATGTTTACAGTGATGTGCTCAAGCAGCATGAAGTTACCCTTGCATACCTTTGCTATGCGTTACAGACACAGTACCTAAAACTGAGAGCAAGATAATATTAAAAAACAGACTTCCCTCAAGATATTGACATAACATGATTAATGCTCCGCTGGTTCTTACATCAACACCTATACTGAACCATTCAGAGCAGAAACAGTGTTTTCTGTTACCAAAGTAGTGTATAGCAATAAAAAGGAGGAAGGGAAGGAAGCAACCCATACCTTGTACAAAACCATGCTCTGGGCTGCCCTGCTGATGCTGGGCTCCAGCAGGTTATTCTCACATTTAGCCCAGTGCTTGTCATGGTTAAAACCCCTGTGGTCTTGTCTCTACGTTCCCAACCAACCAAAAGCTCTGCTATTTGGTTAGAATGCAAACAAATAACCCCTTTCTCTTCCTTCATTTTCTCCCCTCCTCCCAGTTACACAAATCTCCTGAGACAGGACAAGGCACACGGCAGGAGGAAAGAAGAGACAGGCTGTGGTTTTAGGGAGCAGGACTGTGCCTCAGCTGAGCCATCAGTGGGGCAGGTCAGCAAGGCACCTTTGGCAGGAGACCCGGCCAACACCAGGGTCCAGTTGCTGTAAGGAGCACTCAGGTGCGCTGCTTCTGAAAACACCATCGTGTTCTCAATTTATGCCTTGTTCAGACACAGAGCCGAGCTTTGCAGGGCCCCAGTCTGTGCTGCTTATACGGAAATAAGCCGTGATCTGCTACAGCTGCTCCTTCTCTGGCAGGCAGCACCATCGGCACAAGGGACTGACACCTGGGGCTGACTGTTGGGTCACTATAAATGCTGTAACCTGCACATGCCCCCCAGATGTTCCCTGAGTTGGTTGCTCTGCCTCTAGAGCAACTGCAGAAATGCAGTGTGCTGGGGCACCACAGGATTACCAGGACTCTGATTTCTCTTCCTGGGATGAAGAGGAGGAGGCACAGTAAGAAAGCAATGTGCTTTGTTGAGGATTTGTAGTGTTAACCCCAGAGATTTTTGTCTTTACCAGCTAATCCTAGCTCTGCTCCTAGTTGCTTTAGCATACGCCAGAGCACTAGCTGCCTGGTGGGGAGGCAAATGTACCTCTGGAGAGCAAGGACCTGGTGTGTTACCCTATGTGATTTGAAATAAATATCAACATTAACACTTACATTCTTCAATAAAACTTAGCTGTGGAGAGGCAGGCAGACGGCTTCCTCTGATGCACACAGATCAGAGATCGGGGTAAAGAGTCAATCTATCGTGTAGGACCAAAGCTGATGCATCAGCCCAAAGATATGGTCATAGCCTTGTAGTGGCAAAGGGATCAAGAGCAGACTATTTTTTTCAAGAGGTAGCATTGAGTTAAACTGTATTACTCATTCTTTCACCTGTGCGATCCCTTGAGGGGATCCCTTGCTGCACTATCAGAGCGACAGCGAGGTGGTCTCTTTCACAGCGCTCTGTCTTCAGAGCTTATTATCTGCCATACAGAATCCCCCCCTTAAGTGCAGCATTTAAGTGCTGACAACCTGAAATGTCTTGTAATTGACATTTAGGGGATTTCTGAATTGCAGGTTTGTTTGAACATCCTATTGTTAGGATCTGGTGTTTGCTGGGTGTCGTTCAGTCTGTGCAAGTGGGACTCTATCAGGACTGACTGGTCAAACCCTTGATGAGCACACTAGTTTTCTTTTTGAAGCACACCTTCAAAAAATTAGGCTTTGGGGAATTTGACCCTCCTGCATTCCAGCAGCTCTCTGCAAAGACAGAGAAGACTTCTAGATAAAGTACATCATGAGATTGATGTATGCAACATTAGCAAACTGAGGGGCACAGAGAAATGAAAAGAGCTACTGAACTGAAGTATCCTTCTGGTGTACTAGTTGTGTATGTTATTTGTATACTTCCTGACAGAAATGCTACCTGCAAAGTCCTGTTTTCCCTCCCACCTCCCCACACACCGATGTTTTCCTGTGCAATTAACAATCTAAAATATCCACTCTTCCCATCTGCCAGAAGAAAGCGTGTGATCTATCACCTCCAGGACTCAGCTGGCCAAATGGCCTGGATCAACTTGTACCTGTCAAACTCTTTCCAGGAAGATACAAGAAACAAACTGAAGATAAATAGCACTGATTGTGCCTCTACCTGCGCCAAAGTTATCCAGGACCATCTTTCCAACCCTTCCCAGGGCTCTGGCAGCCTTTGCCCCTAGGGTTTGGTGTGGATGTGGCAGCCCCCCTTCTCGATGGTCTGCACCGGGTGGATCGGTAGGACCAGGTGGGAGATGCGGCTCCACAGCCCGCTCAGCTTGTCAGAGTCCATGTGGTCGTAGGAGCTGGGGGTCCTGCTGCTGGTGAACTTGGCCCAGAGGAAGTCACGGACCCTCTCTTCTACCTGCTGGAGGCTGATGTGGGTCTCCAGCGTCTCCTCCTCCAGCAGCACGGTCAGCAGCAGGGCCACGTCCTTGAAAGCGGCGCTTTCGTGGTCGCAATACTTGTAGAAGATGAGGGTGGCCCCCGCCGGCAGCCGCTCGAAGCGATGTATCACCGCAGCGCGGCCCCCAGCCTGGAAAGCTGAGCTCAGCTCTGAGTCCACCTCCAGCTTGGCCTGGTCACTCTCGAGCTCGGATTTATCCGTGCCATCGATGTGGACCGTGCTGGCATGCAGGGCAGCTGAGTAGGTGTCAGCCACACGGGCGCTAAGGCATCGCAAGGTCCGCTCACCCTTGCGGGCGGCCGTGAAGATGATGATGGCCGGCTGCGTGTGGTGGGATGCATTGAGGTGCTTCTGCAGGAACTTGCGCCCGCGAAGCCACAGGTGGGGACTCTGCCCCGGGAACCTGTCCTGCAGCTGGTTGAACTGGGACAGGAATGCCTCCACGGTGGGGTTCCTGGGGGCTTGCTGGGACTTGGAGGCCGGGTTGCCAAAGCAGAATATGCAGAAGCCAAGCAGTACGAGGCTCACAACGACAAGCCCTGTTCAAGAGGGGAGAGACCCGAGATGGGGAACAGAAGTCAGTCCCGAGCGACCTGCAGTGATATACTGAAAAGTAGCTATGAGGGCTCTTTTTCCCCTCTCAGCCCTTCCCCTCTGTGCTGGGAAAGTGGTTCAGGTTGGCATGGTCTCTGGAGGCACATGAAAGGCGAAGAGACTGCCTGCTTTGTGTTGAGACCCATGCTCCTAAACACCAGATGAGGGGGCTACAGCTCCAGAGATGGAGGAAAGGCTACAGCTTTGCTGTTGAGGTGCAAAATTTCCTGAGGAAATTGCAGCTGGCCACAAGCTTTCTTCTCTTTCCCCCTCCTCTGTTTTCTTTGATGTCTGCAGCCATTTGGAGCACCTGCCTCCACATGTGGAGGTGTCTGACCCAGCTCAAGTGTTGTGTTTGCTGCTTTCCTCTTAGCTCTGCTGGGTGAACAAAAGCTACCGCGCTTCTGCCCAGAAAAGGAGGACAGTGAGATCCAGACACAACTGCTTGTGTCCCTCTCTGTGGCAAAGCAGGATCTCCTTCTACCAGGAGAAATGTGTGGTGCAGATCAACATCGCGGTTCCTGCTTGAGGCCCCACAACACAGAGCGGGCCTGGGAAGGGGGACCATCGGCATCGGAGGCCCTCAGACCTCCCAGGACATGGCAGGGTGCTTCCAGCACACTCAACACCACGTGCCTGCTTTTGAGACTGGAGAGCTGGAGGGAAAGCTGCCACTACAGGTTCAAACTAAGCCTATTTGAAGGGATGTTTTTTCCCTCAAACCCTCAGAAAATACTGTGAAAGGTCCTAAGAGAGAAGAAGAATTAAATGTGTTTCATTACTTGTTCCTGGAGAATCAGTGCCTTCTGGTCGATGAGTAACATGCAAGGGAAGCTTCTTTTCCTCACCTTTCATCAAGAGGGACTTCTTGGCTTTCTCCTGGTCTGTGTTTTGGGCGGTGATGTTCTGCAAACAGGACTGAGCCTCTGGCTCTGGGGCTGTGTGGCCTACAGAAAGAGAAAGAAATGTACCACTCACCTTTGAGGGAACAGGTAAACTGAGCCGTAATAAGAAAAGCAACAGAGCTGCCAGGAGCTGCCAGCTGGGGGAAAGAGTTAGAAGCGAATACTGCTTTGAGTCATGGCGCACTCTGTTTTTTTGGGAAGGGGAATGAGAAAGATGATGCAGAATGAAGTGTGGTGTCATGCCTTTCGAAGCAAGACAGTAGCCAAAGGAGAGAGAAAGAGAGAAACCAGTTAATTTCTTGTACCTTCTTTCCTGCTCAACTCTAGTAAACTAAAAATAGGCACTAAAGAGCCCACCATACTGTTTTTCTAGTGCCTATGGAGAGCGTAGGCATGTGCACGGTGGAAGAGCAGCAGTGTGAAGCCATCAACTCACCTTTGGTCCCGTGTCTGTTCCTTAATGTGTCTTGGGATCTGCTCACTGATGTTTCTTGCTCTGTGTGCTCTTCTGGCTCCTGATGTAGGAGAGGGGCACTGGTGCTCTTCTCTGCCAAGAGGCCCTTGATGACATCTTCTGTGGCAGTCACATCCAAATGTGTCACTTCACTGTCAGAGCTCAGGGACTTGCTTCTCAGTGAAGCTTCTTCCCCTGCTGTGTAGGACCTTTCACACTGCTTGCTTGTTTCCTGGTGGACAGGGCTGTCTCCTTTGCTGTCCACTTTATACTGAGCCAGACTGGCTGTAGGGAATAAAATTCACAGACCTGTGCTTAGTCTTCTTCAGCACAAGAACCAACAACCCTTCCTCCTCCTCTGCCTTCACTAACCAAAGGCCCAGGTTATCAGCATTTTGGAAATGCTGTGCACACAAAAGGGGAGAGACTCACCTTCATCCAAGTCGCCGTCTTCCTGGGGTCTTTCTGAGACACCAGATACTTCCAGTGATACTTCAGTTTCCTGGGGAACCTTCTCCTCTACCGTGGGGCCAGCTGAATCTGACAGTGTCGTCTCTCCTCCATCAGCAGTTGGTGATTTACACACTAAAGAGTCCTCTTCTGGTTTGCAGGAGGTCTCGGGCAACCTGCTTGTCACTTGGTGCTCAAGTGTTTCTTGGGTGGGCTCTTGGTGCATAGGGTGCTCTGCGCTGCTCCCCCCCTCACCCGGGGCTGGCCCAGCTGTTGGGATCAGAGTTCACAAGCTCAGCTAGCTGTACAGGAGTCAAAGATACCCAGTGCTTTACCACCACCCTGTCAAACTCCCAGTTCTTGCAATTTAGAAACATCTACCCGCTGTGAGGCGGGGGGGAGTGAGGTAGTGAGATGGGGAAGAGAATAGGGTGACCAAAAGTGAGAAGACTTATGGGTCATGATCAAGACGGTTGAATAGGTGAAGGCAAGGGGGTGGGGGAATCACAAGCAATGCAAAGGCAACTGCTCACCACCTCCTACAAGCAGACTGATGCCAGGCCAGTCTGCAAGCAGTGGCCACCAGGGAAGCCAGCCCCCCCTCCCTTCTTCCTGTACCCCAGTTTTTATTGCAGAACATGATGGTATTTATACTGTATGGAATATTCCTTTGCCCACCTTGGTTCCCCACCTGATCTTCTGCCCACGCCTGATTATTTACTTGGTAGGGGGAAATGGGGAAAAATAGAGAGCCTCGATGCTGTGCCAGCTCTGTTCAGCAATAGCCAAAACACTGCTGTGTTATCAACACTTTTTTTTTAAAAAAAAAAAAAAAAACCACAAATTCATAACAGATCACTGTACAGGCTGCTATGAGGAAAGTTAACTCAATCCCAGCCTATGTCCCACACTGTCCCATGTGGGGTGGGCAGGCAATTGTTTCATTGACTGGTAGGTATGTTACTGCATCTTCCACAGGCAGTGGGTTTTCCTAGCTTGGTATATTAAGGTGATGGATATGAAGCATTTCTAAGGCTGCTGTTGAGTACTGGCCAGAACAGTTAACCAATGCACTTCAAGCATCCATCTGTAAATGTTAGCTCTGCTTGTGCTCCTTCTCTGCTCCTGTTCTGGAGCTGCTCTCCCAAAGAGCTGTGGTAATATATAGTTAATAAGCAAGCACTGGAGCATAATTTAGAGAAATTCTGATGCTGAACATAAGCATTTGCAACATATTCTGAAACCTACAAAACCAAACAGTGCAGCTCAAATTTCAGGTGAAAAATTGCTAATGAATGATCAAGCACTACAGCGACATAGAAATTATTATGCTAAAATTAGAGTAGAAGCTCTCATAAAAAAACTTCCTACTACTTTGAAAGCAGAGAAAAAACTGTGTTTGTCAAATGTCAGGACACGCCGTCCTTCGGACCGTGATTTTTACATTCCTTGTTGTTGAGTATTACGGGAACAATTCTGACTGCCTAGGACAGATCTGGTGACAGCGTCAGGGTATCACTGAAATACTCATGTGCAGTAGTTACAACAAGGCACCTGGAGAATGGAAGTACATGGTAGAAACTGAAATATGAACCTGGGAGAATCTCGCTATTCAAGCTGGGCAGAAACAGTACTTTGCCCTGCCTCCTCCAGAAGTTTCCCATCCATGGGTGGTAGAAAACTGGCTTATTATTTAAGCATCTGAAGATGGGAAGCACTGGGATTCAGGGAAGAAAGCTCTCCCAGCCTGGAGCTCCAACTTTAGCCTTCCTCGTGCTGCCATCCTGGACACAGAGTCTAAGCCTGTTGCAGATGGCAATCCAAAACTGAAAGTAACTTGTTAATCTTTCATCCTTTAAAAAAAGATGGCAGTTTGCTATTCTTGGCCTGGAAAAGAGGGGATTCTTTTATTTTTTTTATTTTTATTTTGCCTAGGTTTCCCACGTCACTGGTGAATCTTCTTGCAAAGGGATTTTCCTAGTAGATGGAGTAAGCATAATATTCACTTACTTTCAGACAGATCCACGCTTGGATTCTCTTCCATTTTCTTTTTTTTTTTTTTTCTGGAGCTCTCTGGCTTCTGCACCGTTATGTTTCACTTTCTCCTTCGGTCATAAGGAGACATATCTCCCTGCTGTTTGAGTGGCTGACCAAGTTCTACCTCCCTCACAGACACCATCCCGTCTTGGTCTTGGGAGTTGCAACTAAACGCCCATAAACCTGATAAGCAGAAACACAGGAGCAATGATTTATGGTGGAGAAGGAGGTTCCTCCCTCCACGATTACCAAGGTGATGGGAGAGTGGATGGATGCCACTGGTAACTGTGAACCTTCAGCCCACGGGCTATTGGCTTTTTTGCTTCCTGGCAGGCTACAAGCAGTCCAGGGGCTAACACAAACTGCAGTTGTCTTGGGAGAAGCCAGTGGGGTGAGGCACTGGTTTCTCCTCCGGACGGACTCGTCTGTGCTTCGAGACAGCAGGCCTGGTGCCTGGGGCTCGGCAGGCTGCCCCGTGTGCTTTTGGGCACCTGGTACCTCTCAGCCAGGTCGGCACAGAGCAGTGAACCTGCTCCACCTTACCTTCCCGCCTCCGGCGTGTCGAATCAGGAGATGGTGATGCTGGAAGGCGAAGTCACTGGCCAAAACACTGCCCAGCCCCTGTGCAGCAGCGTTACCCCCACCTGACCTCGTGCCCATCCAAGAGGGCCGAGCAGTGACCTGGCTGGGTGTTGTGAACCTGGAGCTGCAGCCTGACCCTCCTGCACTCACACCCCCCCACACCCCACACCCCCTCCCAATACTTACCCCTCTGCTAAAGCTCTTTGGGACCAGACAGCCACGCAGGAGTGAACGCGATGCCTGCCCGTAGAAAATTAGTCAGCATGGAAAACTCCCAGGAAACTTTCCCTGCTGGAGAGCGGTTCATGTGGATTTCCGTACAAAAATCTCAAGCCCAGCCTTCCCAGCAGCTTTTCTGGCCCAGGGGGGCACCTTTCCCCACCCACGCTGTCTCTACAGCTGAATTTTCTTGCTAAATACAAGATTTGGAGGTGGGGGGGTATAATTGCTGCTCTCTGCCGCCCAGCTCTCTCGTCCCTCCCCTCCCTGTGCTGTTCCCGCTGGTGACGCTCTGGCAGAAGGAGGAAGTCAGAGGAATAAAGTGGTTTGAGGAGTCGGACGCTTACCCGGGCATGTTCAGAGCCGGTCAGGGCGGTGAAGTGAAGCAGAGGGGCAGCAAGAAGTGGCCAGCACAGTCCCCTCCACTTGCCCTTCACAGAGGCCCTTTGGCTCTGCTGGTGGCAGGACAGCCCGTGCCCCCAGCGCACACCCTTAATCCTCCCCTGTCAACGTGAGGGTGAACTCTGCCCTTCCACAGACACCCGGCAGGCTGCTGGGAGGTGTAGTTTAATAGTTTTCCTTCCGTCCTCCTCGCCAAAGGCAGACAGCTTTTCCCCAGTGAACCGCAGTCGTTCTTGAGAGCATTCAGGAAATTATCACTTTTTTTTTTTTTTTTTTTTTTTTTTTTTGTTCTGTATTTCAGGAACTCTGTAGTCACGCAGAGTTTCCTTCAGGCAAACTGGATGACGGGCTGCTGCTTGCGTTAAGTAACAGCGTTGCAGATTTAAACAACTAAATGGCAGTGAGGCGGGAATGGTTTTGAGAACTGATTTATGAGGATGAAAAGATGAGAAAAACAACCCGAACACTTAGCCGGAAAGCCCCAGACTCTGAAAATGTCATGCTGTGCAAGTGCAGGGAGGGTGAGGAGCTGCGTGCTGTGAAATGGAGTGTGTTTAGCATCAGCCCGGAGGGCAAGGGATGGGGAGACCCCCTGGATCTCCCTTCTGGTGTGGTCCAGAGACTGCAACAGGCAGAGGGTTAGAGAGAGTGTGTGTAGCTGCTCCTGGCCTCATTTGAGCAATGATTTAAAAAAAAAAAAAAAAAAATTATGCTGTGCCTTACTGTGCCTGCACAAGAGACAGGTATGGTCCAACGCCTTCCCTATTCCCCCCCTGCCCAGGACACATTTCACGGGAAGCAGGCAGCATGGAGCAGGGCATGTCACAGGAAAAGCTTCAGCACAAGGAAGAGCAATGCAGAGACTGCAACCCCCCCCCTCCCCAAACTCAGCTTGCAGCCTTTTCACTGACATCCCCAGAGCAGCCCAGTGGCAAATGGCTGAGATGAAGCATGAGGAAAGGTCATTGAAAGCTGGTAAGGAGCAGGCACTAAATGGCTGAGACTCCTCAATTTAGAGAGCAGGAAGCTGAAGGGTGGGATTTGACTAATGAGTTCAGTAAAGCCCCCCAGCACTAGGACTCAAGACGCTTGTAAAACAGGTAGAAGGTTGGGTTCAAATGGGCAGAAACCCAACATACTTCTTTATGCTGCGTGCAGGAAACCTTCCTGGCGCAGGGGCCACAGAGGCAGAGTGTCAGGAGGTTCAAAAAAGGGCGAGTCTCATTTGTGGGCAGCAGGTCGATAAGCAGTTAGTACAGGGCTGCACCTGGAAGTGGGAGACGCCATTGTGTGCCCCCCCTGCCCTGGGCAGGGCTGGCCAGAGGGTGCCCTGCTTCCTCTCGCTCTCTCCCCAAACCTCCACGAGCTGTCCCCCGCCCTACGGCCAACTCTGCGTCCGTCCCTTGACCGTACTGTAACCGCTCGGTTATGAGACACGCACGTGCCACGCTGCACGAGGGGTGAGCGTGCCCACGAGCATCGACACTGGCGCGGGTGGTATCAGGACGGCGTGAGGTGTGAGCGTGGGCACGGCAGCAGGATTGCACCTTCTCTCCAGCAGCGCAGAAAGGCAGCGGCTTCCTCCGTGGCCCCCAGAGCCACCCTGCTGGGGGTGGCCAGGAGGGGACAGAGTCCACTCACTTCCCCGGGGAAGAGTCAGCACATTTTTTTTTTTTTTTTTTCTTTATCACGGCCAACCTCTCACCAGGTGCAGCAGAGGCTGTTAAACCAGGGAGAACGGCAAGGCAGGAAGGAAAAAGTCTGAGTGGCTGGTGCACTGGCCAAGCTCTCCCTGAGGGCTCTGCTCTTAGTTGCCGTCCATCTCGTGCCTCAGTCTGGCTCAGTCTGCTTCTGGCCAGAAGTAAGGAATGGCTGAGGTGGCCAGAGCGGGCAGGAGCTGCAGGTGTCAAGGGCTTCATGAGAATTGAAGTATTTTATATCCCTCTGTCACAGGAGGCCATCAGAGGTGGGCCGAGGCACAAGCGTCACAAATCCAGCAGCGGCGCTGCAGCTCGGCAAGCGAGAGAGGCGAAACGGGGTGGGGGTGAGAGCCTGCGCGGGTTGAGCACCCCATTACCAGAGACCAGCTTGGGGGGGGGGGGGTAACGGGTTGGTCTTCGACACAAAAACATTACCAAGAAGCACGCCGACGTCGTGTAGTGTCACTTTTCTTCCTTGAGCATTCGCAAAGTCATGGGATGTGAGCTGGGGTGCAGAATTGTTACCAAATCCGGTCATTCTTTTAACTTGAGTTTGAGGGAGGATTTTGTTTAAATAGGAATAATGTTTCCTCTCAATCTGCAGAGGAATCCACAGTGACTGGGTGAATTACAAAGGACATGCTATGTAAATATTTCCACAATGTAATCATTTAGTAACTTTCTTAGGAAACTTGTGAATAAAGCAATACTATTTGTAGCTGTCAATCCGCTGGGTCAGAAATCATAAGCCAGTGACCAGCAGGTCTTTTTCTGCTTGAGTTGAATGGATGGTTCAGCCGTACTTTGAAACCTCCCAAAGTGGCATTTGTTACATCCTCTTTTATTTTTGCTTTAGAAAATGCTGCTCAAATGTCTCGTGTTCTGCTTTTGCGTCTTAGTAGAATGACAGTGTTTACTCAATTGCTGGTACAGAAAGCAGTACGCATTGTTTAACTGACAAATATTCACTTGCTTCTGGATGAAACGGGAACATTTATGGTGTGCAAGCACAGCATTAAAATAGTTTTTATTTTAAAATATGCGTACGGACAGGAGAGGTGCAGAAAGCGAGGCCCGAATTGTCACTCCCCTCACCCTTTGCTTAGCAACTTGGTGTCCAAACTGCTCCGCAGCTGTTCGGAGGGGGTGTGTGCGGCGGTTACAGAAAATGTCCGCTGTCAAAAGGTGGGAACAACAGGGACGCGCCACCGTTTCCCCCCCAGCCCCGCCGCACACGTCACCTCACGGCAAACACTGGCCGCGACGCGCGGGTGTTTTTTCCCCGCGGGGCAGCCCGCCTTTCCTCCCGCGGCGGGACCCCCGCGGCGGCCCGGCCCCTCAGCTGGGGGGGGACAGGGCCCCGTCCCGCCCGAAGGGCTCGCCGGGCCCGGCCTCCCCTCAGGGGCCGCCCCTCCGGGCTGGGGAGAGGCGGCGGGCCCTGAGCGGGGCGGCCGGGCGCTCCCTCATTTTGCTGTTTTTTGTGTTTTTGTTTTGTTTTTTTTTTCACCGGAGGGCAGGCGGGACGGCCGCTTCCCTCGGGCCGGGGGGCAGCGGCCCCGCTCCCTCAGGAGGGCGGCGGGTGCGGGTGTGTGTGTGTGTAACGGGGGGGGGGGCGGCCATGGCGGGCCGGGCGCTGCTCCTCGTGACGCCGCGGCGCCCTCTCCGCGCGGAAGCGGCGGGCGGCGAGCCCGCCCCGCGCGGGGGCCGGCGGGAAGTGAGGTTCGCGGAGCCGCCCCCGCCGCGGGAAGGCGGCAGCTTCGGTCCGGCGCAGCGGGAGGAGGAGGAGGAGGAAGAAGAAGAAGAAGAAGAAGAAGAGGAAGCGGCGGGCAACGGGGGACGGTGGTGGAGGAGGCGGCGGCGCGGAGCGGCTTCGGGCAGGATGGTGGGGGGCAGCGACGGGCAGGCTCCGCCGGCCGCCACCGAGCTGAAGCGCCGGCGGAAGAGCCCCCGGTTGGCGGCGGCGCGGGCAGAGGAGGCCGGGGCGGAGGAGGCGGAGGAGGCCGCGGCCGAGCCCGGCCCCGGAGGGGCGCTGGAGGGTGAGCGGCGCGGGCGGGCGCGCTCAACGCCCCGCGGTAGATCCCGCGGTTGAGGGCGCGGTGGGGCGGTGCGAAGTGGGGCGGGCGGGCTCGCTCATTTTCCCCGCGGCCGCTCGGCTTGCGGGGCCGGGAGGTAGCGGCACACCGGGGTGACCCAGCGGGTCTGAAAGGGGTGTTGGGTGCTCCTGGAAGGGCTCTCAGGGTGGGGGACGGGTGGGCTTGAACGGAGCTGCCCGGCCTTTCCAGGCGATTCACCTGTTTCTTGTTTCAGGAGACGAGCATCGCTTTGGGGATGCAGACTCCTTGACTCGCCCCCCTATAAAAGCGTGCAGGTCCGCAGGTAAGGCTCAACTCGGAGAGGTTGCTGTGTGCGCCGCTTGTGAAGGTGCTGAAGTGCATAAGACTGGAAGAAATTGAATTTTTGGGGGTTTAGCTCCTGTGCAGGTTTTACTGTGGTTCTGGTGTAGAGGTGAGGAAATCCCGCTGCTGTTTTTATTCCGTATATAAGAGATGAGGAGCACTTCTCTGCCTTCCAAAAGGGTTGGTGCACGTGGAGCAGTCTGAAGCTCCTTAGGTGGCTGTTTACCTTGTGCATCGCTTGGAATAGTGTTTTGTCACAGCATTGAAATGGGGAATAACTGTTTTTACTACCAGCGGTTGGTTTTTTTAAAGGCTGAATTTAAATAAAGTATCTTGAGCGTCAAAATTAGATTGCTGTAGGACTGTGCTCCTTACAGCAAGCAGCATTGCCTATGAGGAAGTGTGTAATTGGGGCTTGCCTGTCCTTCCTCTGAAGCACCAAGCATGCCTTGGGACTTGCTCTGGGACACTGGACTGGAGAAGCTGTTGTGTTAGCTCTGTGTGTCACCTTCTTGTTTCTCTAGCTGACGAAAGCTGTATCCTTCTCAAAGCTTTAGGGAGATGCTAACTTTATATAATACGGTCATGTGGCTTTAGCTTGTCATTCCATTAGAAAACTGCAAGCAAATTGTATTTCCTTCTGGTTTGGTCTGTTCTATTTTGAGTCAGACTGTATGCTTTATTAGTGTGTGGTGATTCTCAGATGGATGAGTTGGGCTAGCCTGAGACTATTCTCTATTTCCATCTGTATTCTTGTGACAGGGCTGTCACCAAGCTCTTGTTACAGCTGCAATGCATGGCCTTAATTATGTGGCACTGCCCTTAAAAGGGGCTGCCTGTTACATTTCAGAAGCAGAATTTCCAGGAGGCGTAGAAAAATCTTGAGGGTGGAAGAGAGAGGTGATGAGTATTTTTTTGGGAAAGTACAAAGTTTATCTGTGAAAAAAAAAAACGTGGGAAGCTGTTACTCCCAAATGATGGCTAACCAGGGTACTAGCACGTTTAGTAATTTAAATGTGGCTGGGCTGCTTTCAGAGGTACAGCTGAGTGGTTTGTTTTTTTATTTTTTTTAGTGTAGATGTCTCTGAAAATTAGGCTGGGGGGAGAGGTGTCCTCCCCAAGCTCTGACAAGTGGCATTTGGTTATAGTCACAGCAGGTGTCAGAGACCCTCATGCTTTATGTAGAAGCAAAGGAGTAATTTCCCCCCTCACAGTCCTCCCACCTGTAGCTATCCAGTATTGTTTTCTGCAGAGTTTAGGGGAACGCAGGGTCTGAGGCAACAGGGCAAGCAGGGTGGATTTTTATAAGGATGTAATTGTCATGCTTCCCTGAGAGCAGAATGGAAGCAAACCCACAACTTGAGAAACTGGTTTCTGGCTTCTGCTTAGAGGTTTTAAATATAGATTAGGAAACTTGCTTCTAGAGCTGAAAAGCTTTAAGAGCCTACATAGCCTGCCTTGAATTGGACATCTTGATCAACGAGCTAAAGACACCTTCAATCTCTGTTGAAGGTGTCTGAAAATTTGTAAGTAGAGCACAGGACTGTTCGAGTTCAAGGCAGGTGGTAGATGGTTTTGGCACTCGAGTTTGTGCTGTCTGTAGTTGCTGTGGAACACTGCAGCAAGTGTGTTGCAGGCTTATCTCTGTGTTGAAAAAGATTGAACCCACAGGGATAGATATGCACTAGACTTACAAGAACAAGTTCCACTGTGTTAAGATAGTGGCTTTATATTTTGGTTTATAAACCTGTAGTTTATGAACTCACAGATTTCTAATCCGTTTGATTAAACTGGTGTATGAAATGGGGATAGTAAGAAGATCACTCTCTTGGCAGGTGACTGTGCAGTAGGTGGCTGGCTAGCAGATTGAAGGTGGTTTGGAAAATCCTCACTAGCTTGCCTGGGAGGCGGGAATGATCCTTTAGGTAGGAGGCTTAAGGCCTTGTAAGGAAAGAATAGGCATGTCTGATCTGGAGTTTGTATTTATACATATTTCTAGGAAAGTTAAACTTTATAAAGGGGGAGATTACATTTCTCTGTAGGGGATGCCGTGTGTGCTGTCTGCTTGTACTAATACTCTTTCTGTTGGTGATACCCACTGTTACATGGGGTGCTGATTCAAGAGCTGTCTTCATGTGAGAAATTAAATTCTGTATATTTAAATCTTTCCTTTTAACAACAACTTCTAAGAATGCTTTGAGAGACATAGAGTACTTCCTGATTGATGCAAAGAAGGGGAGAGGAATTAAAAAGTATGGACTGTATGAGTAGCCCTCTTTAGATTCATAGATCCTTCTGGTCTTGTGATTACTAGCCACTGCTATTAGTGAGATTTTTCTTGCAAAACCTCAGTACATAGTGAAATATTATGAGTATGTTGTTTGGCGTTCGTGAAGATGAAGTAATTTATTGAGTATCTTCACTCTTAGCTTTGTAGGAAATCAGTCATTTAACAGCTTTTTGAGATGGTTTTTAAAAATACAATATCCCACTCACTATGTGAAAATACTTTACTGCGGTACCTGTGACTTAATATCTTGTTTTAAACTAAACTTAGTTTTAAATTTTAGTTTAAAAGGGAGTTTTCTCCCTTGCTTGTGTTTTGGATTGTTTGGGTTTTTTTTTCTCCTTTGTATGCTTCACATGATGGCATGCTAAAGCTGCCGAAACATTACAAAAAGGCAATGTTTTCTTTCCTTGAAGTAAAATTAATAAACACTAGGTGGCAAGCTGTGTGTTGCCCTCACACATGTGAGAAAAGAGATACAGAAACACATTAAACACTGGGAGAACCCAGTACTGGTAAAAGAATGCAAGGGCCCAGTGTGAATGTTATAGAGGTTTTACCAGTTGTATTCTTCCCTTTGCTGTTTTCTCTGCTTATGCCCTTCAGCTTGATCACTGTGTCATGGTCTCTGTTCTGCAGCTGTACTACAGCTTTCATGCCATACCTGAACTTTTGTTTCCACCCCCTTGAATCTGGGCAACCACGTGGTTGCACTTTATGCTTTAGACTGGCTTTCCAGCCCCGACCTTTGCTCTGTGACTTCTGTCATCTCACAGGGCTTTATTCTTTCTACTTAGTAAAATTAACTAAGTTGGGTTTCAGCTGTGTAATTTGGCGAACAATCTAAAGGTGTTGGTTTAGAGTCTTCCCAGCTACCTGAGGGGATTGAGTTGGGAGCGTAGGTGCCCTGGATTGCCATTTTGGTTCATGAAAGAGTGAGAGACCCAATTAAAGGATGGCTTGGACTGCATAAAAAGGGGATTTATGTTCTATATTTGCTTGTCTCTGTTTTCCCCTCTGTCTAGTGCTGTGGAAGACAGCACAATTACTGTTTTAAGTTGTGTGCCCAAAACTGGGAAAAAAAGTCTTTACTCCCATGCTTGTGTATTTAGTAGTTTACACTGAATTCCCTTACTGTAAGGCATTTCTTGGCTCTTAGCATTTGGTGTCTTGATGTCTTTTTTTTTTTTTTTTTTTTTTTTTTTTTCTCTCCAAGTATTTTTAAGCCAAGGGCTCCTAAGGGCAGGGGGAAGTGTTTGGTGCTGTAGACAGCTATATTTGTAAAGAACTCAGATTTACCATTAGTGGCTTTTGGTTACATTTTCAGTAACTCCTGGGAGATCACAACTTGAAAATCACTGGTTTAGATCATATATGTTCTGAAACTATGTCTTGGTCCTTCAGTTTTGTGATGTTACCAGCACAAATGATACTGCACCTATACCAATCCTCTTTTTCTCTTTTATTTTTTTTGCCTCCTGATAGGCAGCTCTTCAACTTACTTTCTTCAAGATAACCTAATAAAAGAACAAACAAAGGCTTATGACAGTGATGAACCAGAGAAACCAGCAGGGCATCAACCAAACATTTATACACTGTTAAAAGGTAACAACGCTAGTTTTATCAGTACCTTTCCCACAATGTGACAAATAATTGCATAAATGTGCTGAAATGACATTCTTTGTTCTATTACAAAAAGGGGAGTTGTTGAGTTGAAGTCTGAATGGATGAAGAAGTTTTTTAATAAAAAAAAAAAAATAAAATTTCACAGTGAACTCCTGCTCCAGAGTTGAATTAAAACTGACTGCAGTATGATAGTCATCTGTTTGGGTGTAAAACCTTAAAAGTTCAAGAAAAAGCAGTTTTAAACTTTGATAAAGACATAGCCATCTGCTTTTTGAAAAGCAAACCAAAAAGACAAGTAATACCATACCTGCTTTGAAAACTGTTATGAGAGTGGATCTTTAATTGCCTCAGCCAAAGCAAAACAAAACTCTTCTGTTTCTAAAACGATGAGTTACTTCTTACTTTTATTAGGGGTAAGCTGACTTTACTAAGTGATGTCAGAGAGAGCCCCTTTTGGCTCATTGCTCAAGAGGTTTTTCTTGATGTGTGTTACAGAATCAATAGGGAAATACAATGAGGAAGAAAACATAGGATACTTTTTAGCCCAGCAGCAGGTAGTTATGTTACTAGACGTGGTTTGAATACATCCAAGTGGATATGCTATGTAAGGGAGGCTTTTAGGAAAGCTGGTAAGTGGTCAGAAGGTGAGGTAGCGGCTTGCATTAATTCGGCCAGTAGCAGCCCTAACCACACAGTATTAGTGGGAGGGCACTGAAAGCACTTGTGAGCTCAGACTGACAAAACACAGACGTGAGCCAGGCCACTGAGATGTGCACGAGAACACATCTGTGTCAGCCTGCCCCTTCCCGGAAGCACATGCAGGCATTTTGCTCAGGCAGCTACAAACATGTTTGCTAGAGTCCCCCTGGGCTGATAGCTGTGTTGTTAAGGTGGTAGCTTTATGCTGTTTATTTTTTGGTTTTCCTCCTGCTAAGTAGTTTTGGTTTCAGAAGTGACAAATTTGGTACTCTCCGATAGCAATCAATTAACACTGCTAACTTTCCATCTTTTGCATTTTGTCATTGTTGCATCATTACTCTTTTAAAGAAAAAAATAGGAAGGATAATTTTGTGTCATATTGGGAAAAGCAGGGGGAAGGGCCAAAGTAAGCCCTTTCTAGTGGATAATATAGTGGCTTTCTTCACCTCCAGGGGGGTCCAAGAGGCTGTCATATGGCAAAGGCTTGGCAGAACAGCATATACTGCTTCCCTAGTAACCTCTGAAAATTTCATAGAAAGAGCTAAAAGCATGTATGACTCCTCTGTCTTATTCTGACCTCTGATGTGATAACCAAGTTCTTTCATTTGTGCTTTGGTTTCAGAAACAAAGGCTGACTTCCTTGAGAAAAATCAAGAGCACTGCTCAACTACATCACAGAGTAAGTCAGAAAATAGATAGCCTGGCCTTTCCCTGTAATTAAGTGAGAAGTACAGAATTACTTTCCTTTCCTCTGCTTATGGATTTTCTTATGCCTTGGGACACTCTGTCTGGGAAGGTGGAAAGGGACCCAGAAGGCAGATCCGAATGGAAGCTGGAGAATTTGCTAGCAGCAAATTCCAGAGCCCTCCTATAAGGTTATTCAATTTGCTGACCACTGAAAATTACCCACTTCTTTTTGTTTTCTTTTCTTTTTTTGGCTGGGTTGGTAAATGGAGTTGACTCATGGAACAATCAGTAAGTGCAGAGCATGTACTAGTGGTGGTGTGGGGGTGAGCTGAGGAAGGGAACAAAACCTTCACCTTTTGGTAGCAGTGAATGTTAGATTGGTTTGTACACATCACCCTCCCTTCTAGCCTTTCCCTGAATAATGGTGGCCTGCTATGATTGAATTAGTTGCCTTATACTCCTGAAGAGGAGCAGCATTTTTTTTTTTTGTTGGCAACCCCCCGTCTGTTCATCTAATGACCAATTCCTTGTGTTTCAGATTTTTATCTTTGGTTGTTTTTATGGATTTGTTGATTTAGGTTTTTTTCCTCTTGGAACAGTACTTGAAAAAAGAGGGGAAAAAAAAATTTTTTTTTACTTCTTAGTAGCCTTCTGGTCTTAACGTCTAGGTGCTTGGTTCTATCCTGAACAAGTATAGATAAACAAAGTCTTGTAAATCAGAATTCAATCTGGAGAACCTGGGGGAGTGGTTCAGGGTTGGTTTGTTTTGTGGTGTTTTTTTTTTTGAAAAACCACAGTGCCTTCTGGAAGAGAAGCTCGTCTTTTGGTAGCTGCCCATCTGTGAAACACCTTTGAAAAATGAATTGATGCTGGGAGTTCTCGCTAGTCTGGTGCTTTTTCTTTCATGTGCCAGAGGTAATAGGTACTGCAGGAGTGATCAGTTGTGTGTTGGGTGAAGAACTTTGGAATATTACTTGAAACTCTGAAAGTGCTAAGGTGTCTGCAGAAGTTACACCTTTTGAATTAGGCAAGACAAATAATTTGCTTGGCCTTCATGGATCTGTTTGTAGGCTGCTTGTTGAAATATTTTTTCCTTTAGGTTATGAATCGCAGCTGTCTCCTAAATATGAAACCTGGTCTCATCAAACAGGGCTACATTGTAAAGTATTACAGATCTGAGGTGATTTTTGATCTGTTAACTATTAGAAGACTTACATAAGCTTAGCCAGTTACAAGCTCCATGTCTGGGTGGGGGGTTGAAATTGCAGAATAACGTAGTTTATTAAGTCAGTTAAGCTCCAGCTTAAACCAGAGCTGCTTTTAGTACCTTCTGCGATTACATTCATAGAGAAACAAGGTTATAGAATTTAGTGTTCTTGAAATAGCTACTGCAGGGTGTGTTTGTTCAATTTATTCTCAATAGTGCCATTGACAGTATCCTTATTTGGTTATACATTATTAAAGAGCCTTCAGCTTTGAACCAGTTGCTGTAGCTCATGAGGAGCCAGAAATTCTTGTGTCTTTTTAATTAACTGACTAAATGCTGAAAACATGCTGACCAGTAATTGCACTGTATATATTCATACTGGTCTCTTGGGAAAGTTGTTCATAACACTCTTTTATGGATAATGTCTCTTGTACTTTGCTGTCTGAGCCCATTTAAATAAATAGACCAAAAGTATATTTTGAAGTTGAAAGCTTGCATTTTGCTTCAAAAGCACAGTTCATCCCAAGAAACTGACTGCTGATGAAGCAGGCCTCTGACCCAAGCTAGATGGAGAGGGGATATGAGACTACACCTTTAATGCTTGGCTTTTGCTACTTATATCATGCACGATGTTGTCTTTCTAATAGGTGTGTTATTTGAGCTTCCATTTTTCTGTCCCTCAAACTTGTGAGTAAAATCAGGAAACTTAATTGGGACATGGGATCCTTGTACAGCAAATAACAGGTTGTTAAGTATCTTCCATTTTGTCACCTTGTACTTGAAATGCCTCCATTTTTATTTGCGTAACTTTTCAAGAGTTAAAAATTGGGGGTGATTTGTGATAGGTTGGGGGCATGTGCTTTTTATGCAAGATTGTCAAGATGGCTTAAGAACTGACATTTGGCAAATAGTGTGGATGGAGAGTTGGTCTGCCAGTTGAATGGGACTTCTCAGGCTTGTAACAGAGGTGAATGTGCCATTTTCTTTGTTCAGGACTAGCCTTGCTTGAGCACAGGAGGGCGAATGATGCAGAAAAGGACAGAATGCCCCATACTTGATACAGCCCTGCCCAGGATGAGATCACAGCCTCGCCTTTGCTCCTGCTTAGCAGGACTGCATTCACTTCAACAAGATGTTATGCAAGGGTGCTTTGTCAACCTTCCTATAAGCTTGGTAGAATGTTGTATGTAAAAGCATAACTAAGAACAGCCTTTCATTGAAAGTAATGCAGTTTGGTGATTTCGACTCCCTGCTAAATTCCTCGCTGGAAAATTGGTTATAATTGTTGTCTTAGTGTTTTTCTCATGTTCCTTTCTTAATCTCTTAACAGGCAGAAGTAAATTTCGAGATCAGTCCAGTACAGGGAAGCAGTCACAGCCTTTGGCCAAAAGTAAGACTTCTGCTTTCACTTCTCTTTCATCCTTGTGTTACATTTAACCATTTTCATGCCTGCCCAAGTATTAGATTTCCTGATAGCTTGTGTTAAATTGAGGGTCCTTGCCAGAACAGATGGCTTGCTTGCTAGGGTATGTTTTCTACACTGAGGAAGAAAGGGTGTTGAATAATAGGTAACATTGCCACCTGAATTTAAGGTCTTCCATCTGTAGTGTTTACAAGATTTGCTGCAAGATTAAAACTGAGGCAGGCCTACTGGTGTTCTTATTTAACAGTTGTTATGTTGCTGTCCTGATCAAAGTTAGGATATAAAAAGGTAGCATAAGGTATACAGTTCTTTCCTGTTTCCAGTGAGGTTGGTGTATTTTGTCACTAATTTTACTGGGAACAGAATTGAGCCTTATGCTTGTAGTAGGTCAAAAAACTGTTAATTCAACTGTTCAAATACAAAACCAAATCAAAATACTGGTGATTCTTTATGCTTCCTGTGCATTGTTTGCTGTGTGTACTCTTCGTGAAGCTGACTGGTCCAAACACCACAAATGTTTTCTGATAGTGTTGATCAGCAGCGTTTGAGATGGAAATACTGCTGTAGAAACTATTTTTATCCTTACAGAGATAGGGAGGAGAAATAATAACACAGAAACCATGATGGTGATGCCAGGTTTTGTATAGGGCTTTTTCTGAGGAGCCTAAATGTAGGAAAGAGCTTGACCTTCTTCAGAACCGTGTTAAACTCTTAGTTTGGATTTGATTAAATAGAATGGAGTACTGATAAACTTTCAGAAAAGCTTCTTTTTCAGAAGAATGTCCTATTTCTTAGTCAATCTGGAAATGTGTAAAACTGTCCTTTTTTTAAATACTGTCACTTCACTAAGTTGCTAAAGAAGTTCAAAGCTGGGGTTTGTTTGGTTGGTTTTTTAAACTACATCTTTTTTATGCTCTTTAAATACCATACCGGTAGCTTTTGAGTGGGATGAGTTAATTGAATTCTACTTTTTCCTTTTGTTTTCCTCTCAATTGTTGACTTCTGATTCCTTTTAAAACAGTTTCTTCTTGTTTGCTCCTGCTTTCTATAGATAATGGTGAATCGCAGAGTGGATTTTGCAAGAGCTGGACTTTGTTACTGGTTCTGTTAATTATTGTCCCATTGCTTTATGTCCTGTGGATTGGAATGCCAAGTCTTCTAGATGCAACTTTGTCAAGTAGAGATACTCAAATTCTGCAAACGTTTCGGGCCCGGATGAAGAAACTAAAAAATACTTACCAAAGTCAGGACCCCAATCTGTGGAAAAGAACCCACGTGTTCCTTGAGAAACATCTTAATGCTTCCCATCTGCATTTGGAACCAGCCATCCTACTGTTCACAGCTGGCCAAGAAGCTGAGAAAGCGCTGAGGTGCCTAAGTAATGAGATTGCCGATGCTTTTGCCTTCTCCCAGAACGCTACTACAATCAAAATTAATGGCGCAGACAAAGCCATATTGGATAGTGACATTGTCAAGCTGGAGGTAGATAATGAGCTCAGCTCTGGGTTCAGAGAAGGCAAGAAGGTAGCAGTGGTGCATCGATTTGAGTTACTGCCTGCAGGCTCCACCTTAATCTTTTACAAATACTGTGACCATGAAAACGCAGCATTTAAGGATGTGGCTCTTCTACTGACTGTTCTTCTGGATGAGCAGTCACTGAGAAAGAGCCTCACCTTGCAAGAAGTTGAGGAGAAAGTCCGGGATTTCCTCTGGGCAAAGTTTACAAGTTCAGATGTTCCCAGTTCTTATAATAACATGGACACAGATAAGCTGAGTGGACTGTGGAGCCGTATATCTCATCTTGTGTTGCCTGTTTGGCCTGAAAAGGGCCTCCCTGTGGAGGGATGCACATAAAAGTTAATTCAGAGGACTTGGGAAAGGAGGAAGACAGAAAATGTATGTTGCAATGGCTGAACAGGGAAGAACTTACTGCAGCTGCTGAGCTAAAGCAGCGTACAGCCCTTTCTGTGCAGAGAAATTCCACCAACTGGCAGAGTTGTGTCAGCTAAAGTAACTGCGACTTTTCTAGATCAACTGCAGAATGTAAGCAAGGAACTTGCTGGTTATTGGTAAGTTGTGTTCAGTGACTTACTCAGGCTTGGTGTCCTGGAGCTGGAAGTAAGTGTCCACTAGTGCAGAACCACTCATCTACTTCTGAAGCTGTCTTGGTGCACTATTGGCTTTGCTATGAGGATCCTTTTCTGGTGGTGCATAAAGTTGGTAACGCATTTGACAAGTTAATAAGGTGCAAAAACACCACCTTCATCTGCCAGAATTGCTTACTTCTAACATAAGAAAAAACATAAACTGAAAATTATGATAAAGTGATGAGAGTCTAAGCACAAACTTTTTTTTTTTTTTGATCCATCTGATCACAACATAGATGTCAACTGTCTCTGGCAACTTCTAGAAACGGTGAAATTGCTTGAAAGATTTGTGACTTGTAAGAGAACCTTTCAGCAAGCATTTCTCCCTTAAATAAGCCTGCCCCAGACAGTTCTGGAGAGTGAGAAAAGCTGAGGTACAGAGGTTTCCTTAACATTAATAGCACTGACGTCGGTTAAATAATCCCTCAGCACCTCTTTGCATCGATGCTTCTAGGAATTCTCTGCTCTTTGTCAAAGTTCTGCAAGTCCCGAAATTTTGAGGGCAATGATAAAATGTCAGCCATGTGTGTACTATCTCCTTTGCAAACAAAATTTTAGGAAGACATAGGTTATTTCTCATTTTAATAACATAATTATTTTTGCATCAAGAGAATTTATTTATTTGGGGTACTTGGTATCCTAGAAAAATAACCTTTCTTCATGTGTCTGTGTATAACCTCCTGCTTGCTATATAAGCTTCTAGTGAAGAACAGATTTGCAATGCATGTTTTTCAAGTACATTTTTTTAGTGTTCCTCATGCCAAGAATCCCTCATACCAGACTAAAAACATGTACTTGTTTCTATTGTAAGTATTTTGTGCAAAAAATAAAGAGAATTGCAGCACTTCCATTTCATTGCTGTTAGTGTGTGCTCTTAAACTACTGGTCTGTGTGCGTTTGCTTTTATTGAGTATGAAGGAACATGTGAAGACTGCTCTCAAATTAATAGGATGTTTTCTTGTAGCAGCTGAGACATTAGTGGCTCTTGGACTCCTCCTTTATTCACAAACCCCTTGAGCTGCCCTGTTGCAAGAAATACTCCTTAACCAGGAAAACCTCTTGAGGTGCTGGAGCTTCTGGCTTCCTCGTGGAAGCAAAGTTTGGGGTGTTAAGTAGAATGGACCAAAATCACCTCAAGCATATAAAAGAACACTGTTTGAGAGACAGAGCTGTGGTCACTTAAAGCAGAGGTGGATTTATTCTAACCACTGCGAGCCAGCAGTGGATAGTGCTTTTTATTTTAATGGGAAGAAATATGAACAGTAAAAAGACATGGAAGTGCTGCTGTTCTGGATGATTAAGAATAGCTCAGGAAGGAAAAGATGGCATTTACATTTTGGACATTTCACTGGACAAATGTGGGGTTTTTTTTTGTTGTTGTTGTTGTTTTTTTTTAAACAAAAAAAAACAAACCACAACTGTGACTTATTTCTGAGTGTTTCCTGATAGCATACTTGTTTGTATATTATGTAAACTATTTTAGTAATCATTAAAAATATACATGTTTGTTTTGTAAGCTGTTTTAAGATTTGCCCATTGAATTTTAAATGGTCAGACTTTTTTTTTTACCTGTTTAAGACTGTTCCTTTTACCTTTGACCAAATACAGACACCTGAAATACAACCTTTTGCAAAATTTAGAACTCTTAAACTTGAGCAGAGTGGTAGATACTGGGATGCAGATGCATGTATTTGATAATATTAGGGCCTTTCTCCCGACAAGGAACACTTGAGGAAATTGTAATAGCTCTGAATTGTCTTTTACTTGGTGTTCTTGTACTAATTCCTCAGTTCTGATTTCAGCCGGAACTAACGATAAGATATGGTTCACTTGTTTCATTAGTCCGATTCAAGAGTCAGCAGCTGACAAAAGGGATGACTTCATTCTTGTTCCACTTCTAGCTTGTTCCTGTACCTTTGCTGTTGCAAACTAGTGCACTGTAAACTGACTGGAGGGACAGTCTTACTAAAAACTAGCTTAGAATAAAGGTATATAATTAGCAGAATTGGCAACCACAAAAAAGAAGACTAAGTTGTGACACGAAGGCAGGAGATTCCATGCTCTTATACAAATAAAACATATGTAATCCAGGTTATTTTCTGTTCCTAAAACTCTTTTCCCCCCCGCCCTTGAAGTAGTAGGTCCTTTTTGGAGCTGTTTGTGGCTTTGTCCTTAAAAGGCTCTCATTAAATATCCACAGGTACTTAATGACATATGCATTATGTAACTCCTCAGCCAGAGGTGAAGAATAATGTCTGTCTGCCTTGCTCACAGGCAGCTGATTACCATACTCCTTCTGTAATTATTTCATTGCCTGCAGCGAACATAGCCATTTGATGTTTTCCAAACTGTAAAACACTTAGGCTTCTTCCAGAGAAATTTCACTTCTGAAATTGAACCGTCCCCAGCTGTCAGCAGATCAGCAAATTAAATAGTCTGTGACAGCAAAAATGTGCTTCTATAGAGTAAAGACACGGGCTCTGTCCCTGGGACCGAGGAGGGGATGCTTCTTGTTCTGTGGGTTTACAGCATACGAGCTTTGGGCAGAACATGATCTTTGGGGAGCTGAACCAGCTACGCTCCAATTTGCAGACAAAATTTCCAGCGTTCTGCAAACTAGACTGGAAAACGTTGTCAAACTGCTCCCTGGATTGCGAGCAGACACCCACAGCTGGCAAGAGACCCCTTGTAGGTGGCCAGCCCGGGTGGTGTATGGCCCCACTTCTGCTGCTCCTGCTGTGGAGGATGGCAATACCCACATGGCCTTCAGCAGTCGATGGTGTAAAAGGCGCCTAGAACAATACACAGCCCCATCTGTCACCTTGTCTCTCACACCCTGCTCTGCGTCATGTTGCGCTCAGCAGTTGAGTTTTGAGCATCCTAAGCAGGTTTGCTAAAAGGACTAATTTTATCCCCCATTTTTTCACGCCAACAAGAGCATTTTCTCATTTTTCACAAATTAAAAAGGTCATGGTTTTCATATCTTTCCTTTGAAAAATTTTTTTGGACTAATAATCTATTCAGCTCAAATTCAGTGTAAAAGGCTAGGTGAGATCCGTGTTAAGGTAGGCATAAAAGTATCTGCTGTACAGAATGCAGCTATACGCATCATCTGCAGTGCAATTGCCAGTGTGCTGTATTTAGGAAAAAGGAATCTGGTTTTGGAGGTGTTTAATGATATATGAACAACTTGCCAGATTCTGTGCTAAGACCCTGTAGCACAGCTGGAAAACAGAACAAATCTGAAGTGATCCCCTTGTTTTAAAAGCCCAAATCACGCAGAGAACAATTTTCCATGCATTGTTTCTGCTGCAAGACAAACTGTAGAATTGTGGGAGTAAGGAGAAGGTGGTGGTGGTGGTGGGGTTCCTGTAGTCCTCACAGCTGTCCTATGTCCTGTTTTATTGTCAGCTCCTGACAGTTGGATTTATAATTGAATGCCTGGACAACCTCATTCCATGTCCAACAGGTGGAAGCACCCTTCCCCAAATTCCTCCGTGGCTTTCGGGAGCCATGTCAGTCAAGTAAAGGGGGGAGGGAGTCTGGGGGGCCCGAGCTGATCTTTCCGCTGCAATAGCCAGCTGCCCCTTTCTAATTTTAGAAGGGGTGTGCAAGAGTAGTATGGAGTGGAAAACTTTCCAAACCTCTCTCTTAAAGCTGCAATAACCAAGTTAGCCTGATGTGAGATTGTGGCTCTTTACTTTTAACTTGCTCTCTGTCTCCATCCACCACTTTCAGTGCTTGGGCAGTGCTTGCTGCGATTATCTCCGTTGCTTCGCTGTTTAGTGAGCAGTTCATCAAACTGGAGTGTGTTCAGTTCCTCCTTTTCTCTCAGCTGTGGCTGTCTGCAGGTAAACGGTTTATTTCTAATCTTAGAGAATTTCACAAGATGATTGCATTTTCTATAAGAATGTCTTTCTCTTTTGGTGTGATGTTTGCCTGTCAAAGCTTTCTGCTTGTTGGTAGGGAACCTTTGAAAAAGTAACCTTAAGTCTTACAATTAAGTTCCACTGACAGATAGAGAGAATAAATAGAAGCTATATAGAAGCAAAACTAGGGGACAAACACTGCCTTTTAATTTTATCTGACTGAAAACGAATGATTTTCATGTTTGGGAAAATCCTAATGTGATGCCTTGTCTGCCCAAAGATGAAAAGGAGGAACATGAAACTAGATTAACTGCTTCCACATAGAATAGAGAAACTGTGTTTAAAAGCATAATTAAAGAGGTAGTGCATTACAAAAGTGCTGAATAATTTAAATAGGCTTCCAATCCGGCAATATTAAGCAGTAAATTTAAGCAAACACTAGGTGATGACAGGGAATGTAATAATTTAATTTGCCCTAGTCTGTGATCAGGACTCCCATACGCTGTAGTAATACTGTTTTCATTGACTGAAATTGTCATTATTGCTATTATTACTTATAGTCTTCTGCATTTGGGAGGAGCAGGTTTGCTCTTTAAGGACTCAGGAGGGAATTAGGTGCTACTTACCACTTTTTCCCATTGGAGCTGTGCTTGTCTTCCAGTGTTCACATATTTTTTCCCTCACCTGGCAAAACAAAGTAATTTTTAAAGGTTTAACCGCTGACATCTCAAGTTTACCTCTTGTTTCAAAGGAGGTGTGCTTATGCTGGAAAATATACTCTGTAATTAGTTTGTGTATGTAAAAGAGCCAAATTAAGATTAAGTTGGTATCGTGTAATTGTGACATGATTAAGTTCTGCATTGCCTAAGCTTCGCAGCTGTAATGGTCTCTCAGTGTTGAGGGTGTTTTTGTATGGTGTACCCATAATGAAATAATTTACATGCAAAATGTTGACCATTCACAAGAGGAGAGGCTATGTAAAAATAGTTTAATCCTTTTTGGTTAAGAAAAAAAAAAATGGGGGTGAAAAAAAGCTCCAGTAGTTTTAGTGATCCTTTAGTGGTTGGAGTAGATAACTCTCCACCCCCACGCTCCCTCAAGAAATTTGGCATCTGTAGTCAAACAATCATACTAATGACTGAAAACCAGACTCGGGCAAAGTTGTAGACAAGCCCTGAAGGAGACATTCCCAAAATAACTGTAGGAAGAATTTATTTTTTCCTATTCTAATAGATTTCCTTCTTCAGTGGAAATAATTTTTTTATAGCTGGATAACATCTTAGACCTATTTATGAAATGTGGGTGGTTTTAATGTGTCTTTGGGATGGGATCTATGCAATAGAAGATGGTATACTGACAAACTCTTCCGGGTTTATAATGACTGTTACAAGTGAAATCAAGCTGGTGCTACTCAGTCATCTCTCTGAAGTATTGCAAATGGTGTTTATTTAAACTTAGATTTGGCAACTGGGAGACTCTAATCAGAGCCGCTTTCATTTTGCAAAAGATTTAAATTATTTTTATAAAGATGACTTAGCTATGAATACAAATGACTAAAAAGTGGTGCCCTAGTTTCAACTGGAGCCGTTTCAGGAATGCCAGCATCGGCGCTGGCACCGCTCTGCAGCGGCGGTTTAATAAACATTGCGAAGTCCCTGTTCTTGCATCGAAACGGAGAGCTCTGCCACGGCTCCTTATTTTCACAGGATTTGCATGTGGACTGAACCGGCAAGTCAAGCTAGCACAACCTGAGGGGGTGGGGGGGGAAGCTTTGAGGTAAATATTAGAAAACACACTTTTTCTGAGGGTGAGGGAGAGTCTGGCGCCCGGAGAAGTGCGAGGACCCGAAGCTCCCCTGTCCCGGGGCGTGCCCGGAGGCGCGGTGGGGCGGCGGGAGGCCTGGCCGCCCGGGGCCGGGAGCCGCCAGCGGCCGCTGCGTGGGCTTCCCGGGCACCATGAAAGGTGCGCTCGGCCGGCGCCCGCCCTCAGCCCTTCCCGCCGCCCGGGCTGCACCTGCACCTGCAGCGCGGCGCCGGACACCGCTCCTCAGCTCGGCTTCGGCAAGGTAGGCGGGCTGCGAGAGGCGGGGGGGGGGGGGAAATGGCGCCGCGCCGCTCGGCTGAGGCGGCGGGGCAGGGCAGAGAGGCCGCGCCGCACACAACATGGCGGGGGGAGAGAGAGAGAGAGCGCGGCGGGGAGCCGCCATGTTGGGGAGGTCGGCGGCGGGCCGGTTCTCGCGAGACTCGGCCGGTCGCTCCCGCCCTGCCCCTCGCCGCCGCCGCCGCCGCCGCGGCTCCGTGTCAGTCGGTGGCCGGTAATGGCGGCGGGCTGGTGCCGCTGAGGGGGCTGCGCGCCGGCGGGCAGCGGAGCTCCCGGCCAGCTTCCGCCGCGTCTTCTCTCCGCTTCTGCGGGATGCGCTGGGACCTGCCCCCGCGCCGGCGGGCGTCGATCGCCGTCCGCGACCAGGTGAGGCGGAGGCGCCGGCAGCGGGCCCGTGCCGCCGCCCCAGGCCGCGCTCGGCCCGGCGCTGCTGGTGGCTGCCGTCCTGCTGTGGGCCGGGGCGCCGGGCAGCGCGGGGCTGGGCGGGACCCGCGTTCGGCCGCTCACGGGGCTCGGCGGGCCCGGCCGGCGGCCCGGGGTGCCGGCGGCGGCGCCGGCTGTCACTTGGCTCGGCCTCCGCTGGCGCCGCCGCCGCGCTCCCACCTCCTCCGCTTTACCCGCCTTACCCGTTAAGCCTCTCTCTTTTTCTTCTAGTTTTAATTTGTTTTCTGCTGCTTGGTGTGTCGGGGAGAAGGGAGAGGGTCGGGGAGCTCTAGTCTCACTGTTGTCTTTTCGCCTTGTATGGGAAAACTGCCGAAAGCGGGTTTTTCCGTGAAGCTCTGCTGGCCGCGGCTCGCTGGCCGCCCCCCGGGCCCGGGCCGGGCCGGGCAGAGCCCGGCGGGCCCCCGCTCCCCTCGGAAACCATCCCCGCTTTGCCGGCTCGGGCTGGCGGCGGCGCTTTTAAAGTTTAAATGGAGCCCTTGCTTGTGGTGTGCTGCGGGCTCCCGGCCCTGGGACCGGGGCTTGCCGGGCTGGGGGAAGAGCACCGGCAGCGCTCGGTGTCCGCCCGCTGCAAGTGCTTCTTACGTCCCTCGGTAAGAACTGCCCCGAGCGCTTCCTGACTTCACTGCTGCCATTCATTCGGGCATAAAGGTTTTTATGTTGGTATGACTGTGGCTTTTTTTTT